CTGGGCCCATCCAGCCAATCCAGGATAGTCTGCCTGTGTCAAGATCCTTCAAAACATCTGCAAAGTCCCTATGCCATGTAAGGTAACATTCACAGGATTCAGGAATTAGGATATTTTTCTGCCTACCATGCTCATATACATATATGAATACATAGAGAAATTTAGTATATGATAAAAGAGGCATTCTAAATCAGTGGGGAAAACAGACTTTATTAAATGGTGCTGGGAAAACCACATAGCCATGTGAAAAAAATTAATTTGAATCCTTATGTCATCATTTATGTTAGGTTAAATTTCTAAATGGATTAAGATATAAATGTAAAGTATTAAACCACAGAAGTTCTAAGAGAAATCATGGATCTTACAATGGGGAAAAGTGAAGTATGACACAAATCTCCAAACAATAATATAATACATTTGGCTATATATCTTTTTTTTTTTTATCCTCACCCGAGGACATTCTTCTTCAATATTTTGTTCAGATAGAGTGGGAGGGGGAGAGAGAGAGAAACATCGATGTGAAAGGGACACATCGAGTGGTCGACACCCACATGACCCAACCAGGGCTGGGGACAAACTGCAACCGAGGTATGCGCCCTTAGCGGGAACAGAACCCGGCTCTCTCCAGACCACAGGCCAACGCTCTAACCGCTGAGCCAGCCAGAGCTTCTTCTTTCCTTCCCTTCCCTTCCCTTCCCTTCCCTTCCCTTCCCTTCCCTTCCCTTCCCTTCCCTTCCCTTCCCTTCCCTCCCCTCCCCTCCCCTCCCCTCCCCTCCCCTCCCCTCCCCTCCCCTCCCCTCCCCCTTCCCTTTCCCTTTCTTCTCCTTTCCCTTCCCTTTCCTTCTCTTCTCTTCTTTCTTTCTCTCTCTCTCTCTCTCTCTCTCTCTCTCTCCTCCCTCCCTCCCTCCCTCCCTTCTTTCTTTCCTTTCTTTTTTTTTATCTTCACCCAAGGACATTTTTGCATTTATCTCCAGAAAGAGTGGGAGGGAGAGGGAGGAGGAGAGAGAAACATCGACATGAGAGAGACACACTGATTAGTCCCCACCCACACAACCCCAACCAGAGCCAGGGACAAACAGCAACCAAGGTATGTGCCCTTAGCGGGAACCGAACCCAGGACTCTCTGGTCCAAGGGCTGATACTCTAACTACTGAGCCAAACTGGCCAGGGCATATCTTTAAAATTCTTAATGGCAAAACACATCATAAGTCAAAACAACAAACTCGGGAGGAAATTTGGCAACCTTTATCACAAAGTTATTTTTTCTTATATTTAAAGACATCCTACAATTCTATGAGAAAGATAAATAACTCAGAAAAATGGGTTAAGGATATCGACAGTACAGAAATAAGGGTGAAATCTCAGAATTATACTACCTCTAGTTACTTGGACACCAAGCAAAACTCATCACTTCCAATTTTTTTATTAAAAAATATCAAGCCTACAGAAATGTTGAAAGAACAGTGCAATTAAACAACACCCATGAACCCATTACCTAGATTCATCAATTGTTAACATTTTGCTATCTCTCATTTTCTCTCTCTTACACACACATATTAAGTTTCAGACATGTATATCCTAATAAGGACATTCTCCTATAGAACCATAACACTATTATCACACCCAAGGAATTTAACACTAGTCAAGAATATATCCTAATATATAGTTTATATTAAAATTTCTACATATCCCCAAAATATCCTTTATAGGTTTGTTTTTTTAAATATAGAATTCAATCAAGGATTAAGCATTGTTTTTTGAGTCTCTTTAGTCTCCTGTAATCAAGGAGAATTCCCCATCTTTTTGTTTTGATTTCATGACACTGACATTTTTTGTTGTTAATCCTCACCTGAGAATATTTTTCCATTGATTTTTAGTGGAAGGGAGGAAGAGAAACATCCACATCGATCGGTTCCCTCCTGCACAACCCCGACTGGGGTGGGGGATCAAACCTGCAATCCGGGCATGTGACCTTGACCAGGAACGGAACCCATGACCCTTTGGTCCGTGGGCCGATGCTCTAACTGCTGAGCCAAACTGGCCTGGATGACACTGACATTTTTTTAAAAAAATATGTTTTTATTGATTTTAGAGAAAGAGGAAGGGAGAGGGAGAGAGATAGAAATATCAATGAGACAGAAACATCAACATCGATCAGCTGCCTACTGCATGCCTCCTACCGGGGATCAAGCCTGCAACCCAGGTATATGCCCTGATTGGGAATTGAACCAGTGACCTCTTGGTGCATGGGTCAACACTCAACCACTGAGCCACACCAGCCAGGTGACACGACATTTTGAAGAGTCCAAGTCAGTTTTCTAGAAAATGTCCCAGTCTAGATTTGGTTACTTAGTTCCTCATGATTAGATTGAGGTTAAACATTTTTTTTTTTATCCTCACCCGAGGACATGTTTCCATTTTTTGTTCAGGTAGAGTGGGAGGGAGAGAGAGAGGAAGAGAGAGAGAGAGAGAGAGAGAGAGAGATACATCGATGTGAAGAGAGCCACATCAAGTGGCTGCCACCCGCATGACCAACCAGGGCCAGGGACAAACTGCAACCAAGGTACATGCCCTTAGCAGAAACCGAACCCGGTTCTCTCTGGACTGCAGGCCAACGCTCTAACCACTGAGCAAAACCGGTCAGGGCAAGGTTAAACATTTTTAAAAATAAGAAGACTAACCCTGGCCAGGTAGCCCAATTGGTTAGAACATTGTCCTTATACACCTACAGGGAGCTTTCTTTGACATATCATCAGAGGTCTTTTGGAAACATGGTAAAAATACTCTTCAGTTCATAAAGAGACACTGCTTAGAAAATAATTCATATAATAAACTTATTTTAAAAGTGCAAAAATTAATGTGCTTCCAATCAGTAAAGGAAAAACTTCCAAAATTTTTAATAGAAAGGGCAATACTTTGAAAAAAATCAAATAACTAAGTAAATATTACAATCAGTACTCCAAACCCAAGAAAACAGAAACCATCATTACAAGCCAAATCATTTTGGAACTGATAATTCTAGGAACTGAAAATGTATAAAACAAAACTTCTACTATTTAGGCTTACAGAAAAGAAATAAAACTACTCCAGTAAGAAAAGTAATTTAAATTTCATGGGAAACAGATCATATTGGTGACTGTAAATGTTTTTCAAGGAGTTCGTGGAAACAAGGAATAACTACATCTTGACTTTTATGGCAAATGAGTTGTGTTGACTTTTAAAGCTTAAAAGATCATGTGGTCTTTTGACTAATAACTCAGAAGTCAAAGCAAACCAAGAGGAATCCACAGGACTTTAATCTAATTGTAAAGTATAAAGTAAAATTTTAAGATGAGTTAGTTTAAAAATGCAAATATATTTTAGTTTAGAATTAAATATAAACAAAAATTATCATTAGGATTTGGCTAAAGTTTGGGTAAAAGTCTTTTCTATTTATCTCACAGATAATAATGATCATTCAATATAAATGGATATTTTATTATTTTAAAGATTTTTAGAGAGAGAGAAACACTGATGTCATGGCTGCCTCCTGCATGTCCCCTACTCAGGATCAAGCCTGAAACCCAGGCATGTGCCCTGAACAGAAATTGAACCAGCCACCTTTCAGTGCACAGGACTACACCCAACCAACTAAGCTACACCATCCAGAGCGATATTTTAATTTTTATATATGAGAAAGGTATGGCTTCACAAACCAGTACTTATATTAAGTTCATTACTACTGTCAGAATTTGACAAAACTGGTGTTTTGGGTATGATATTGTTTGATGTATAATTATTTAATAAAAGAAGTTGAAAATATTGCTTTAAGGCATTCTTCAGAAAGATAGAAACTGCCCAGACAGAAGATATGATATCTCTCTAAACTTCTCTGTATATTTCTATATATTTCCTTACTATATCACAAACACAAAATTAGTATTAATATATTTACATATATGTACTAGGCCAAAATCAATTACCTTTCCCTACAAAATTATGCTTACTAAGAAAACACTAATAGACATTATATAATGAAAGGAGGCAAGGCCCTTAAGAAAAATGGCAAACAATCTTAATAGTTGAGTGCTATTGCTTTCTCTCTCTCTCTTTTTTAATCCTCACCCGAAGATATTTTTTCATTTTATCTTCAGATAGAGTGAGAGGGGAAGGAGGAGAGAGAAATATTGATGTGAGAGAGACACATCAATTGGTTGCCTCCCACATGACCCCAACCACGGCCGGGGACCAAACAGCAACTGAGGTACGTGCCCTTGACCAGAATTGAACCCACGACTCTTTGGTCTGCAGGCAGACACTCTAACTGCTGAGCCAAATCTACTAGGGCTATTGCTTTCTCTTAATAACATTTCTGGAATGGAGAAAAAGAAGGATGAGTAGTTTGCAGACAGGCCCGTCACTATTCCAGGCAGAAGCCAGGAAACCTAAAAATCATAGCTCTATATATGGGGAAATAACTTTATGTTTTTGTCAGTGGTTACACTTGCTCTTACACTTAAAAGTTACTCCTTAGGGCTTGTACTAAAGCAGAGAGACCCATTTTAGTTAAGAGAAATTGTCCCTAAGTGTTCTTTTTTTTTATCCTCACCTGAGGACATTTTTGCATTTATCTTCAGATAGAGCGAGGGGGCGGGGGGGGAAATAAACATTGTGATACATTGAGTGGTTGTCACCCACATGACCCCAACCAGGGCTGGAGACAAACTGCAACCAAGGTAAGTGCCCTTAGCGGGAACCGAACCTGGGACTCTCTTGTCTGCAGGCCAACACTCTAACCACTGAGCAAAATTGGCCAGGGCTGTCCCTAAGTGTTCTACTACTTAAACCTTTACTAGAAAGATAAGCAAGTTGAAAGCAGACTATTTGAGGCCTTTCATTATTCCTGACTGTAGACCTTTAAAAACTAACCCTACAAATTAACTAAATAATCATCAGAAGGAATTTTACTAGGCTTCTTTCTAGGACCTGAGGATGAAGATTAAACAGCGATTGAGACTAACATATCATTATCAAGTGTATTGTGCTTGGTTGCTACAGCTGTGGTCCAAGGGTCAAATGGTAGAAATCGCAGCCCTGAAGCAGATCTTGGTAAATTTGCTTGACTACATTCTTTAGGTAGTTGTCCTCCAGTGGCACTTTAGATAGAAGGGCAGAAATTTCATCTTGGCTGGAAAAAACAAAAGGTTAATTAATTTTTATGGAAACTTATACTTATTTCCATTTCAGTGGAACTCATGTTTTTAGGTACAGTCTCTTGATCTCCCAGGAAGCACAAATAGGCATTTCTAAAAACAATTCGACTATTCAGTTTGAACTGAGATTCTAAAAACCCAAGGATCAATTCTGTATGTAATTGTGAGGTATTCTGACCTAGCTCTTTCTCTGGCTATAAAAATCTAAACTGTTGGACAATTATTGTTTGCTGATGGATTTGAAGTGGGTACATTCTCAATTCTGCCACTTCACAACCTGTTAGCAATGTGTCTAAAAAGCCACACAATATATAATAGGAATTAAGTATTTTTAGGTCTGGTTCCATAGGCTAATTGAGAAAAACATTATGACTGTACAACTTTTTAAATGATTATTCTGTTTTTAACATCATAAAAGATATTCACATATGACCTGGGCTAAATGCAGGATTTTTTTCCTTCTTGATTCTTATTTTAGGTAAGAGTATTTAAAAAGTGGAGCAAGTATAAAAGAATAGACCAGTGGTCTCCAGCAACCTCTGGAGATAGCAATGAAGGACACTGACTTTAAAAGAACACTCTTCAAAGTGAAGTCAGAGGGAAGTAACATTTGGCTTTCACTATGGTCTATCATTTATTGACCACTTTGAAGGATCTTTCAAATTCTATAACAAAGGTAAAAAAGTAGCTGAAAGCCCTATCCTGCTGGTCCTTCACTTACCTAATATTTCCAAGGTGATTTTTAATGGAGAAAGGTAACAGGACAGATGGATATTGGGCTGAGAGAGACAACGTTATCTCAAACTTTGCAAATGCTGCAGAGCTGGAGAATAAAAGTCTCAATCTGTAAAAAACAAAATCCTCAATTAAAAATACAAAACAAAAGTAGAATGAAAGACAAACATAGTTTCTTTTTACAATGGCATATGAAACTTAGGTGTACATTATTTCTTGTCCTTCTCAGACAGAAGGTAAAACATCTGAAACAAAGTATTACTGTCGTTTTTTCATTACTAGTCATGAAACTCATTAATAAAATATTTTTTAAAGTTTTCTACTATTTACTTTAATGATTGAACTGTGCAACCCCAATTCATACGTTGAAGCCCTAACCCCAGTGCACCTCATTATTTGAAAATAGGGTCATTGCAGTTATATGAAGTTCTACTGAAGTATGGTGGGTCCCTAATCCAAAATGACCGGTGTCTTTATAAAAAGGAGACGTTTGAACACAAACATACACACAGGAAGAACGTCATGTGAAGATAAAAAGCAGATAGTGGGGTTATATATTTACAGGCCAAGGAGTACCAAAAATTGCCAGCAATCACCAGAATTTAAAGGGGAGGCATAAAACAGATTCTCTTTCACAGCCCTTAAAGGAACCAACCATGTTGACACTTCACTCTTAGACTTCCAGCCTCCAGAACTGAGATAATAAATTTCTGTTGTTTAAGCCACCCAATTTGCAGTATACTTTGTATGGTAGCCCTAGGGAACTAACACACTTACTCAGTATTATTCACATCTATGTTCATTAGGTTATAATTTGGTCCCCATCTCTTCAAAAACTCAATCTCTTCTCCAAGGAGTTTGCAATGGCTTACTACCAGTGAGATTTCTTGAAGCATCTGGGAAAAATAGAAGAAATTATGGAAACATTTCAGTGTTTAGTGGCTCTTTTAAAAAGAAACCCCAAAGTTAAATAATTTAATATATTTATCATTTCAAGATCCACTATTATACATATAAAATTTTAGTCTGCTTTTTGGGACAGATAACATAATTTGCCTTTATAGACATCTATTAGAATTTACCTTGGACACCTGATGCTGTGTTGTACATTTCTTCTTCCAGGATTCCTGCTCCTCAATGTACTGAAAAATAAGCTTATGAACTAAAATGGAGGAAGGAGGAGCTTTATCCTCTGAGGAAGAAAAAAAAAATCAAAAGCAGAGTATGAATTATTCAGATATTTTATATACATATATATAAGCTAGAAATATTATACAAACCAGAAATACCTTCAAATTGCTAGGTGTCTAAGTATCCTCTCCATTTTATTTTCAAACATATAAATTAGAATATATGGTTCACATAAGACACTTTTATAAAAACTCAAAGTCTTTATCACATACAGAATAAAACTTGGTTAAGAGCATAGTCTTGCCCTGGCCAATTTGGCTCAGCGGTTGGAACATCAGCCTGTAGACCATAGAGTCCCGGGTTTGGTTCCCACTAGGGGAGCGTACAAAAAAAAAGAGCATAGTCTTAAATGTAACATAATTCTGAGTTTAAATCCTGTCTTTCCTTAATACCTGAATAATCCTAAGCACAACACTTATCTCTTTTGAGCTGTAGGTCCCTAATTTGTAAAATGGGGAATAATACCTACCTCATAGCATCGATGTAAGTAATATACATGCCTGATACAAAATAAATACAATGGTAATTTTTAGATTATGAAAATAACTATTATTAATCATTGTTCAAGATTTAGTCATGCCCTGGGTGGTTTGGCTCAGCTGTTAAGAGCGTCAGCACTTGGACTGAAGGGTCTCCAGTTCGATTCCCGGTCAAAGGCATGTACCTGGGTTGCAGGTTCGATACCCAACCCCAGTCTGGGTTGTGTGGGAGGCAACCAATCAATGTGTCTCTCTCATATTGGTGTTTCTCTCTTTCCCCCTCCCTCCCTTCCATTCTATCTAAAATATATCTTTGGTGAGGATTAACAACAACAAAAAAGATTTAGTCATAATAATAAAAAAATCATTTCTTTTTAAACCTACCCAATATTTGGAACATTATCCTCGCAGTTTTATGTCTACTACACATATCTAAGGGAACATTATTATTATTATTATGTCTATTTAACTTAGTATGTGAGGATTCTCAAGGAACAATTTACACTTGTAAATTTCCAAAACATTTTTAGTGGCTTAAATGTTTTGAACTTACCATCTAACAGAGATTGAAAATTCAGGTCAACAATCTTCCTATAAACCTTGTTCAGGAAAGGGAGACCAACTAGGAAGAACCAGAATAAGAACAGTATTTCTTTTTATTATTTGATTTTAAACTACAAACTACATACAACTCAAGAACTTTACAGTCCTACTCTTTCTGGGTAGCTGGACTTTTTCATAGACAGTTGAAGGTTTATACTTGAATCACATTTTTCTCTCTATAAGGCAAAAGCTCCCCTGATACTGCTGAACTATACTGACTGGCAGGCCTTTGTAAGAAATTTAAGATGTAATACTTCTATAGTATATTTATCAAGGCCTTCTCCTTTAACCCTTACCTGTTGTGCAAAGATAATATTATTTTCAGGAATCATATAAAGAGGATATGACCTCCCACATCTACTATCTTTGTACAAATAGAGTAAAAATTATTTGTTTTTAGCATTTTAGTAAGGAGTTTTAGGTAGCCAGAATAGCTGCTTGCTTCTCTAGACTCAAAAGTTATCTCCTGTCTCTATAAGTTCTGATTCTTTTTACTTTGGATTCAATCATGAGACAAATAGACATGATCAATCTATACTTTCAAGAAGTGCACAGCTCAGGGGAACACAGATAACTGCAGTAATAAACACACCAACAACTACAAACTGTAATAAACATTATTAAGAAAAACTTCAGGAGGCAATAAGAATATAAAACAGGAAGATAAGCCCTGGCCAGTTTGGCTCAGCGGTTAGAGCGTCGGCCTGTGGTCCGGAGAGACCCGGGTTCGGTTCCCGCTAAGGGCACGTACTTCGGTTGCAGTTTGTCCCCGGCCCTGGTTGGTCGTGCGGGTGGCAGCCACTCGATGTGTCCCTTCACGTCGATGTTTCTCTCTCTCTCTCCCTTCCTCTCTCTCCCTCCCACTCTATCTGTACAAAAAATGGAAAAATATCCTCGGGTGAGGATAAAAACAAACAAACAAACAAATAAAACAGGAAGATAAGTAGTAGAGGGAATAGTTATAATGAGCGTCCAGTAAAACTCCCCTGAGAAAATGATAATTAAGCTGAGATCATAAGGATTATTAGTAGAAATTTATTTAGTGAAGAGGGGGTACTATGGTCCAAACATTTGTGTTTCCTACAAATTTGTATGTTGACATCCTAATATCCAATGTGATGGTATAAGGGAACTTTGGGAGGTGCTTAGGTCGTGAGGGTAGACCTCTTATAAAAGAGACCTCAGAGCCCAGCCAGTATAGCTCAATGGATTGAGCATCCTACTATTGACTGAGAGGCCCTGGTTTGATTCCTGGTTAAAGCACATGCCTGTGTTTTGGACTCAATCCCCAGTAGGGGGCATGCAGGAGGCAGCCAATCAATGTTTGTCTCTCACATCAATGTTTCTCTCTCTCTCTCAAACAAATCAATAAAAAAAAATGTTAAAAAAATGAGAGAACCCCAGAGAGCTAGCTTGGCCTTTTTCATGTGAGGATACAATCAGAAGTATGCAACCTGCAAAAAGATCCTCACCCAATCTCAGATTTGCAGCTTCCAGAACTGTGACAAATTTCTGTTGCTTATAAGCTACCGCAGTTTATGGTATTTTTTTTTTTTCTTTTTTTTGTCCTCACCCGAGGACATTTTCCCATTTTTTTGTTCAGGTAGAGTGGGAGGGAGAGAGAGAAGAACAGAGAGAGAGAGAGAAACACCGATGTGAAAGGAACACATCGAGTGGCTGACACCCGCACGACCGACCAGGGCCGGGGACAAACTGCAACCGAGGTACGCACCCTTAGCGGGAACCGAACCCGGGTCTCTCAGGACCGCAGGTCGATGCTCTAACCGCTGAGCCAAACCGGCCAGGGCAGTTTATGGTATTTTTGTTATAGCAGCCTGAATGGACTAAGACTGGGGAAAAGCTCCCAGGTATAAGAAACATCAGTATATAGGTCCTGAGGTAGAATGGAATATGATTGAGAATGAAAGACCATAATCTGCCCTGGCCAGTTGCTCAGTGGTTAGAGCATTGGCCTGCGGTCCAGAGAGACCCGGGTTCGGTTCCCACTAAGGGCATGTGCCTCAGTTGCAGTTTGTCCCTGATCCTGGTTGGGTCGTGCGGGTGGCAACCACTCGATGTGTCCCTTTCACCTCGATGTTTCTCTCTCTCTCTCTCCCTCCCACTCTATCTGAACAAAAAATGGAAAAATGTCCTCAGGTGAGGATAAAAAAAAAAGGAAAGACCATAATCTTTTAAGGAAATAAAAGAAATTCATTGTGCCTGACATACAAAGAACAATGTAAGATGAGGCAAGAAAAGGAGAAAAAAAGAGCTTTACAGGCTATATTAAATATTTTGATCATTAGTCTAAGATTAGTAGGTGTATGACCAGATTTCTAACAACCATTATAGTTATAGGAAAGAGAGTAAACTAGAGAAGAAAAAGAGAAGATCTAGAAAGACAAACTGGAATGTTATTGTAGTCATCAAGGTTAGAGATGACTATGGACAGAAGAGGCAAAAAAAAAAAAAAAAAAAAAAGTGGATGAATATTAAGTTAAAATCAGTTAATCTTACTAATGATTTAAATATGCCTGGTAAGGGAGAAAGAGGTATAGAGTGATTCCTAAGTTTTAATTTTGGACCCGGATGGAATTGATAGTATTTATTGTGAAAAAGAACTTTGCCCAGCCACTCTCAGTGGATTGAGTGTCATTCCATTGACTGATAGGTCCTGGTTTGATTCCCAGTCGGGGCACAAGCCGGGGTTGCGGGCTTGATCCCCAGTGGGAGGCATGCAGGGCAGCCAATTGATGTTTCTCCCTCACATTCATGGTTCTCTCTCTCTCTCTCTTAAAAAAAGCCCTGGCCAGTTTGGCTCAGCGGTTAGAGCGTCGGCCTGTGGTCCGGAGAGACCCGGGTTCGGTTCCCGCTAAGGGCACGTACTTCGGTTGCAGTTTGTCCCCGGCCCTGGTTGGTCGTGCGGGTGGCAGCCACTCGATGTGTCCCTTCACGTCGATGTTTCTCACTCTCTCTCCCTTCCTCTCTCTCCCTCCCACTCTATCTGTACAAAAAATGGAAAAATATCCTCGGGTGAGGATTAAAAAAAAAAAAAGAGCCATGGCCAGTTTGGCTTAGCGGCAGTAGAGTGTCAGCCTGCAGACCAATGAGTCTCTCAGGTTTTGATTCTGGTCAAGGGCATGTACCTTCGTTGCAGTTCCTCCCTGGCTCTGGTCGGGGTCCTGGCAACCAGTCGATGTGTCCCTCTCACGTCAATGTTTCTCTCACTCTTCCTCCCCCCCCCCACCCCCCGTATCTGAAGATAAATAGAAAAATATCCTCAGGAGAGGATTAAAGAGAGAGAGAGAACTTCAAAAGAGAATCATGTTTGGAGGTTGGGAGAGAATAAAGATCCTAAATTCCAATTTGACCATGTTTACCCACAGTTGGCTATAATGAAGGTAACTGTTTCAAGAGAAAAGACCTAAAGACACTGACAGACAAATCCAACAAAACAGCTAGTCCTCTCTGGACTTCCAATTAACTTTTAGGTTAACTGAAGTACAAAAATACAGTCAATAGTCACCAGCCATTAGAGTAAATTCTCCGTCATAAAAGAAAGGAACTCAGAGTAAATAGATTTAAATAGCATATTGATCCAGTATTTGGACAGGTAAAATTTCTACTGTCTAATGTAATTCAACCAAGGGCAATTTTCACTAGCTGAATTTTTATTTTACTATTTATCTAGTAAAATAGAAACAAAATTATATTCTGACTAATTGAGATGACCACCTCTTCTAAGATTTTCAGCAGTGTTTTTATTATGTCAATAGTTATTATTCTATTAAAATAAAGATTTTAGCTTAGCCATATATTTTTCTGCAGAGGTATACTCTTACTTTTGTTACCCACCTACTGGCTCTCCAAAAGTGATAGTGAGCTGTATTGTGTCATAAAGAAAGGTGAATACAGCTTGATCATCACTCCACTCAATGACATCCCACTCAGACAAGCTGGAGAGATAAACAAGACAAAAACATTTGTTTTTGAGATAAAAGGAGAGAGTACCATCCAAACAGTAACAGCAACAGCTGCTAGTTTTTCTACTGAATAGGGAGACAACATTTTAATTCAAATATTGTGAATGTACAAACATGGTTTCAAAAAATAATAATAATTCACTCAATCTTGAGTGGTAAATCAGAGATAAATCAAGTCTAGGCAATAGAAATTATTAAATATTTTAAAATTACAATTCCATAGCTCTCTCACTTTGTATACTTTCAACTTAGTGTTGAATACATTGACTCTTTTGGAGGCTACATTGTTAAAACCAGTGTTACATACTATAAACACATGTCAGCTAGTAGGTTTCCACAACCACAAAGGCACAGGATAAAACACAAACTAATGACACCTGCTTTTCCTTACCTCAACTGATCCAGTAGCTCTTCAGTTGTATTTGTTTCTTTCTGCACAAAGTCTATTTGAGCAAGGGTCTGCTCTTTCTGTACCTCTAGTTCTAAGAGATTTCTGCAAAAAGAGTATTCACATAAAAATAAATCCATTGTTAGAGAATTTGGACACTATTAAAATAAAAGGCTTTTGCCCGGCTGGTGTGGTTGAGCGTTGACCTATGCACCAAGAAGTCGTCAGTTTGATTGGTGGTCAGGACACATGCCCAGGTTGTAGGCCTGATCCTCAGTGGGGGACATGTAGGAGGCGGCCAACTGACTTCCTCTCTCATTGATGTCTCTATCTCTCTCCCTCTCAAATCAATAAAGAAATATTATATAAATAAATAAAAGGTTTATGACAAAAAGTCACATGCTATATGGCTCTCCAATGAGGTGAATGGCATCCATTTTTGCATTCTCAAGTGGGGTGTTTTGGAATAAACATGAATCTAGAAGCTTAAGTCTAATGAGGAAAGGCCTAAGTCAATGGCTCTCAAATAGAATCCATAAAGATATTCTTGGGTGTTCTCATTTTCTTTGAGATTATTATTAAAATTTACATTTTCATTTTGATGATAAAACATATAAGCATAATGCAGATCATGAGACTGCCCACCTTAAAACTGAGACATACCATCATTTGGTTTTGTTTAGTTTATTAGATCTAAATAGAACTGATGCTTTATTAGTCATTTGCTAGCATCAATTTAATTTCAGCCAAACATCACCTGTCAAATTAATGTTGTCAATGAAAATTTTACTGGTTTTGTCATTATTTATATTTATATTTAATTTTTTTTTTTTTTTTATCCTCACCCAAGAACATTTTTTCGTTTTTTGTTCTGATAGAGTGGGGGGGGGGGGGGAGAGGAAGAGAGAGAGAGAGAGAGAAACATCGATGTAAAAGGGACACATCAAGTGGTTGCCACCCACACGACCCAACCAGGGCTGGGGACAAACTGCAACTGAGGTACATGCCCTTAGCGGGAGCCGAACCCAGATCTCTCTGGACCGCGGGCTGACATTCTAACCGCTGAGCCAAACCGGCCAGGGCTTCTTTAAAAGGATCCTGAGCCCTGGCCAGTGGGGCTCAGTTGGTAGAAATATGGTCTCATACATTGAAAGGTCAAGGGTTCGACTCCTGGTCAGGGCATAAACCTGGGTTTCGCATTCAATTCCTGGCCCCAGTCGGGGTGTGTATGTGAGGCAACCAATCAATGTTTTTCTCTCACACTGATGTTTCACTCTCTCTCTCTTATTCTCTCCGTCCCCCCTCCCCTCTCTCTAAAAATCAATGAAAAAATGTCCTTCGGGGAGGATTTTTTTTTTATCCTCACCCGAAGACATTTTCCCATTTTTTTTTGTTCAGGTAGAGTAGGAGGGAGGAAGAGGAACAGAGAGAGAGAGAGAGAAACATCGATGTGAAAGGGACACATCGAGTGGCTGACACCCGCACGACCGACCAGGGCCGGGGACAAACTGCAACCGAGGTACGCGCCCTTAGTGGGAACCGAACCCGGGTCTCTCAGGACCGCAGGCCGACGCTCTAACCGCTGAGCCAAACTGGCCAGGGCTTTTTGTTGGGGGAGGGGATTGTTAAAAAAGGATCCTGAGCCCTGGTGGGCTTGGCTCAGTGGTTAAGAGCGTCAGCCTGCGGTCCAGAGAGACCCGGGATCGGTTCCCGCTAAGGGCACGTACCTCGGTTGCAGTTTGTCCCCGGCCCTGGTCGGTCGGGCGGGTGGCAGCCACTCGATGTGTCCCTTTCACGTTGATGTTTCTCTCTCTCTCTCTCCCTCCCACTCTGTCTGAACAAAAAATGGAAAAATGTTCTCGGGTGAGGATAAAAAAAAAAAAAGGGATCCTGAGCCCTAGCTGGTTTGGCTCAGTGGTTGGAGTGTTGGCCTGTGGATCAGAGAGTCCCAGGTTTGGTTCACGCTAGGGGCAGGTACCAAGAAAAAAAAAAAAGGATCCTGATATTATTCAAGCTGGAGAAATACTGCCTTGGAGTAATTCCCTGTAAACAATAGTGCTTAGAAAATATTGTCAACCCAGGGGTTAAGGTCAAAACCCTGAATCAGTCTTAGTCAATAATCTTGTCCTCAGTCTTGTCTGTTTCTGGGGGTAGGAAGTCATTTAACCTTTTGAAGTTTAGCATATTTTCTAACACTCAAATTGAAGGCTGACCTTTGAAGCTTTTCTTCGTCAGTTTTCAGCTGTTCCAGTTCTTTGAAAAGAAAAGTAAAAACAAATCTATCAGAATAAACACACTGAAATGTTACAAAAATCACCTGTTTATTACAAATTCTAGCTCAATTAATCTCACCGAAATAAACTCAGAACAAAAGTTCCCCCCCATTTATCTCCTTGATTAATTCAGTTACCTTTTTCTGCAGCTCTCATTTCAGAATCCCATTCTTCCATAGGAATATCTTTCTCTTCATCCCCCAAATTCTTTATTTCTAAAGTAGACAATGTGCATTAAAATAACCAAGTCAAAAATAATTTAAAAACTGGACACAAAAAGAAGAGATGCTCTTTCTCCCACCTTTCCTTGCCAATAAAGCACTGTGACATAATTATAATTTCATAAAAAAACGTGCTTCTAGTAGCAGACAACTGAACTTTGAGCCATATCACAGTGATCTCTAATAGCAGATTTTCAAGGGCCATTCTGAGTTGGAAATTGTTTATACAAATTTTCATAATCAAAGTTATCATTAGGCAAGCCTATGGACTAAGCAAGAATAGATACTGAATGCACACACATTTAACGTTTTTTTATTTACTTTGTTTCTAAAACCTTAGAGTCGTCCAGTAGTAGTGTCAATAAAAAACAAAAAAAACCCAAACCCTTGGAATCATCCTTAAAACCACACTCTCAACCCCAACCCAAACCAAGTTTAGATTCAAAAACATTTTTAAATTTTTTTTCTTCACCATCACCAGCTTCCCTTAATGTAAGCTACTGTCTTTTATTTTTTTTAATATATTTTATTGATTTTTTTTTCAGACAGGAAGGGAGAGAGAGAGAAATGTCAATGTGAGAAAGAAACATTGATCGGCTGCCTCCTGCATAACCCCAACTGGGGATTGAGCCTGTAAACTGGGCATGTGCCCTGACCGGGAATCAAACCGGGACCACTCAGTCCATGGGGACGATGCTCAATCCACTGAGCCACACTGGCCTAGCTAAGCTACTGTCCTTTTATTTTTTTATTTATTTTTTATCCTCACCCGAGGACATTTTTCCATTTTTTGTTCAGGTAGAGTGGGAGGGAGAGAGAGGAACAGAGAGAGAGAGAGAAACATCGATGTGAAAGGGATACATCGAGTGGCTGCCACCCGCACGACCAACCGGGGCCGGGGACAAACTGCAACCGAGGTACATGCCCTTAGCGGGAACCGAACCCGGGTCTCTCCGGACCGCAGGCCAATGCTTTAACCGCTGAGCCAAACTGGCCAGGGCACTACTGTCCTTTTAAAAAAATGTTTTTTGTTTATTGATTTGAGAGAGAAAGATCTATTTGTTGTCCCATTTGTTTATGCATTCATTGGTTGATTCTTGTATGTGCTCTGACTGGGAATCAAACCCACAACCTTGGTGTAGAGGGACAATGCTCTAACCAACTGAGCTATCCCGCCAGGGTGTACTGTTCTTTCTTCACCATACCAATTCAATAACTACTGAACTACTTACATTTATTACTGATCTATTCAAATCCTATCTCTACACTGTAGACAGTGCTTAACAACCTTCAAATGCCTGTTCACTATTTTTAAAAAAGTCAGAACTCCTGCCATGGCCAGTTTGGCTCAGCGGTTAGAGTGTCGGCCTGCGGTCCAGAGAGACCAGGGTTTGGTTCCCGCTAAGGGCATGTACCTCGGTTGCAGTTTGTCCCCCGGCCCTGGTTGGTCGTGCGGGTGGCAGCCACTCGATGTGTCCCTTTCACATCAATGTTTCTCTCTCTCTCTGTCGTCTTCTCTCTCCCTCCCGCTCTGTCTGAACAAAAAGTGGAAAAATGTCCTCGGGTAAGGATAAAAAAAAAAAAAAAGGTCATAACTCCTGCCCTGGCCAGTTTGGCTCAGCGGTTAGAGCGTCAGCCTGTGGTCCAGAGAGACCAGGGTTTGGTTCCCACTAAGGGCACGTACCTTGGTTGCAGTTTGTCCCCAGCCCCAGTTAGGTCAGGGCCATGTGGGAGGAGGCAGACACTCGATGTGTCCATTTCATGTCGATGTTTCTCTCTCTCTATCTCTCTCTCTCCCTCCCACTCTATCTGAACAAAAAATGGAAAAATGTCCTCTGGTGAGGATAAAAAAAAAGTCAGAAATCATTAAGAGGCCCTCTTTGGCCTGGCCCCTAGTGACATCTCCAGCTTTGTCTCAGACAATGTTCCCTTTTGTTCTCTCTATTCTAGCCATGTTGGTCTTATTTCAGACCCCTGTACTTGGTACATTCTTTCCCACAGAAGGGCTTCTGCATGTGTTATTCATATTGAATAGTGTGCTTTCCCTCCCATTCTCATTTTAACTCATCATTCTTCATACATTAAATGTCACTTCCTCAGAGGGAAGTCTCTCCTGACTCAACTAGGTCGGAATTCTGTTTCAGGACCTTACAGCACATGTAACCTCTCTTCCATAGCACTTACTATAACATTATTTCTTTAATTCTTACATTCTCATCTAGACTAAAAACTCCACAGGGTACAGAGGTTTTTTTGTTGTTGTTGTCATTGTTAAATTCTCACTCAAGGATATTTTTCCATTTATCTTTATTTTATTTTATTTTTATCCTCGCCTGAGGACATTTTTCCTTTTTTTTTTTTTGTTCAGATAGAGCGGGAGGGAGAGAGAGGAAGAGAGAGAGAGAGAGAAACATCGACGTGAAGGGACACATCGAGTGGCTGCCACCCGCACGACCAACCAGGGCCGGGGACAAACTGCAACCGAAGTACGTGCCCTTAGCGGGAACCGAACCCGGGTCTCTCTGTACCGCAGGCCGACGTTCCAACCGCTGAGCCAAACCGGCCAGGGCTCCATTTATCTTTAGATAGAGTGGGAGGGAGGGGGAGAAAGAGAAAGAAACATCAATGTGAGAGAGATAAATCGATTGGTTGCCTTCTGCACTACCCTGACCAGGGACAGGGCTGGGGACTGAACCGCAACTGAGGTACGTGCCCCTGACCGTAACCGAACCCTTAGCTCTTCAGTCCATGGGCTGATACTCCAACTGCTGAGCCAAACCATCCAGGGCCAGAGTTTTTGTTTTTAATTACCATAGTATTCTTAGCACTGAGCACTATTTATGACACTTACTAGGTATTCAGTATATTTGCTCAAGGAATAATGAAGGAACAAGAAAGAAATAGGCCCTGGATGGTTTTGCTCAGCGGTGAAAGCATTGGCCTGCAGTCCCGAGTGAACTGGGTTCTGTTCCTGATAAGGGTTGCAGTTTGTCCCTGGCCCTGGTTGGTCGCATGGGTGGCAGCCACTCGATGTGTCCCTTTCACGTCGAATTTTCTCTCTCTCTCTCTCCCCCTCCCTCCCTCCCACTCTACCTGAACAAAAAATGAAAAAATATCCTCAGGTGAGGATAAAAAAAAAAAAGAGGAGCCTGGCCAGAGTGGATCAGTTTGTTGAGTGTTGTCCTGTGCACCGAAAGGTTGCTGGTTTGATTCCTGGGCCAGGCACATAACTGGGTTGTGGGTTCGATCTATCGAAGTTTGGTTTGTTTGGTAGCAGGAAGTTTAGAAATTCAGGCCTGCCCTGGCCAGGTAGCTCAGTTGGTTAGAGTGTTATCCTGATATTCCAAGTTTGTGGGTTTGATCCCTGGTAATAGCACATACAAGATGCAACCAATGAATGCATAAATAAGTGGAACAACAAATTGCTGTTTCTCTCTTTCTCTCTGTCTTAAAAAAAAAAAATTAAGCCCTAGCCAGTTTGGCTCAGCGGTTGAGCGTCAGCCTGTGGACCAGCGAGTCCCAGGTTCGGTTCCTGCTAGATTCCGCTAGGGGCACGTACCACAAAAACAAAACAAAACAAAACAAAAAAAATTAAGCCCTGGCCAGTGTTGCTCAGTGGTTGGTGCACCGGCCCACACACCAAAGGGTCATGGGTTTGTTTCCTGGTCAGGGGCATCGACCTGGGTTTAAGGTTTGATCCCCGGCCCCAACTGAGGTGCATGCAGGAGGCAACCAATCAATGTGTCTCTCTCACACTGATGTTTCTATTTCTCTCCCTCTGCTTCCACTCTCCACACATCAATGGAAAAAATGTCCTCGAGTGAGGACTAACAAAAAAATAAAATAAAATTTAAACATAAATAAAGTAAAAAAGAAGTTCAGGCCTAGTGGCTCTCCCCCGCACCCCATTTAGAAGAAAGTAAGATAATGAACAAAGGGGTGGGGCAGTCTAAGATTATAAAATTCATATATTTATCAATTCAATGTAGAAAACATGTAATAGACATTTATTCTGTGAAAATCATAGTTTTAAGAATTTTGAGCCCTGCCGGTTTGGTTTAGCAGTTAGACTGGAGAGTCCTGGGTTCAGTTCCCACTAAGGGCATGTACCTTGGTTGCAGTTTGTCCCTGGCCCTGGTTGGGGTCATGTGGGAGGCAACCAGTCGATGAGCCTCTCGCATATTGATCTTTCTCTCTCTGTCTCTTCTTCTGCTTCTCCCCCCCTCTCTCCCTCCTGCTCTATCTGAAGATAAATGCAAAAATGTCCTCGGGTGAGGATAAAATAAAAAAAAATTTTGAAGCATATGGAAAAAAATAAAAGCTAATCTTTGTTCCCATGAAATTCACAATTTAGCTAGGAAGATAAACTATACAAAAGTTACTATAATTACAAGTAGATGTGATAGGTACTATTAGAAATACTAACAAAATTGCCACAGACGCTCAAGGGAGATAGAGACCACTTCTGGTAAAAAACAGAAAAATGTATTAACAAAGACAGAGTGGCAGGACTGCAGAGAAATGACAAGATTTGGTTGGAATTTTGAATGTGTAAAGGAGTAATTCAGTAAATCATGCAAGAAAGAAAAAGATCTAAAAATGACTGTAGAAAATGTTGTATGTCAAGCTCAGGAGCTTGGACTTTATTTCATATTAAATACAAACTGTCCATAATTAGTATTCTGGCAGCAATATGCAGGTTGGACTGGAAGGAGATAGAATGAAAAGTGTAAAATTTTTCAAGTTGGAAGGCTTCAAATAGCACATTTCAGAATTAATGATAGCCTTGATGGAAATGGGAAAGAATACAAGAAATGTTGAAGAAGCAGATATGACAGAACTTGATAAGAGGCTCGAAGACAATAAAAGTTTTGAATTTTTTACAATATATAAAAATGGTGATGCCCTGGCCGGTTTGGCTCAGAGGTTAGAGCGTTGGCCTACAGTCCAGAGAGACCTGGGTTCGGTTCCCACTAAGGGCATGTATCTCGGTTGCAGTTTGTCCCTGGCCCTGGTTGGATCGTGCAGGTAGCAGCCACTCAATGTGTCTCTCTCACATCAATGTTTCTCTCTCTCTCTCTCTCTCTCTCTCTCTCTCCCTTCCTCCCACTCTATCTGAACAAAAAATGGAAAAATGTCCTCGGGTGAGGATTAAGAAAATAAATAAATAAATAAATAAATAAATAAATAAGGTGATGCCATCAATAAAGACAAGAAACATTAAAGGAAAAACATGTTTTCAGATTTATTTTGGAAATGGGAAAAGGATAAATTCCATTTATTCACACAAAGTTTATGATGCTCAAGGACATGTTTGCAGAGTTTCAGCAGGAAGCTAGAAAAGTTGAGTCTGGAACTCAAGACAGAGAGGCTAAAGATGCCCTCACCCAAAATGATTATAAGCTACTAACAGCAAAATCTGTTTCTTACGTAGATTTTTTTCTGATGCAAACATAGTATCTGGCATGCAGAAGGTGCTCAACAAAGGCTTGATGAATTTACCTGAATTTGGAAATCATTCATATAAACAGAATTGTTAAGGCAGATGAAAGCATTAAAGAGAGAGAATACAGAAATGAGTAGATGATAAAATCTAAATCCCTACATAGGGGTCAATTAGAGAGAGGCCAACAGAAGAGCTAAAAGAAACAACCAGGACAACAGAATAGGGTCAGGGTAGTGCAATATCAGTCAAGGAGATGCAAGATTCAAGAAGAAAATAATAATCACATTCACAAATGCTTAAATGGGTCAAGATAGCTAAGGAGTGAGAGTTACCAAATTTGATGATTATGTGGAATTTTGTGGTCTCTGAGAAAGTAGTTTCAGGATAACAATACTAAACAAGTTGGGATTAAGACATGTCAAACTGAAAGGTTCATTTTTATTTTCTTTAAAAAACATTATTGATTTTTAGAGAAAGAGGAAGGAAGAGAGGGAGAAACAATGATGTGTGAGAGCGAAACATTGATCAGCCACCTCCCCAACGAGCCCACAACAGGGCATGTGCCTTGAACTAGAATTGAACTGGTAACCCTATGGGGTACTGGACAATGCCCAACCTACTGAGCCACACTGGCCAGGGTGAAGGGTTCATTTTTAGATAAGTTCATCTATTTAAAAAACAGAACACTGCCTTGGCTGGTTTGGCTCAGCAGTTAGAGTGTCGGCCCGCGGACCAAACGGTTCTGGGTTCAATTCCAGTTAAGGGTTCATACCTTGATTACGGTTTGGTCCCCAGCCCTGGTCGGGGTCATGCAGAAGGCAACCGGTTGATGTGTCTCTCTCACATCCATGTTCCTCTCTCTCCAAAAAATCAATAAAAACATATTTAAAACAAACAAACAAACAAAAAACCCAACAAAAAACTGATTATGATCTAGATTATGAAGAGCTTTCCAAAGAGACTTATTATCTTGGGCATCTGTTGTTGATAGTGTTATGGAGGACCATAGTAAAGGAGTTTTAATTTACTCTAATTTCATGTCTTGAGCTACAAATATAAGGCATCAGCATAGTGTTACCAGCAATCTGTATGAAAGAAAGCATTTAGATAAAATTAAGTTTTCTTTTGAAAAAATATTCAAAATACTTTACCCATTTCCACCTCAGTGAGACAGTTAGCAATCTTCAAAAGTATGTTGTCCATCTCATCTATTCTTATTTGGAGTTTCTCCCTCTCATTCTAAACACACAGTATTAGAAATTGTCAAGTTAAAGTTCCAAATAAAACATTATAACATTATCATGTTTTAAATAGCTGACATAATTGCTCTAAATCATGAACAGACAGATCTTAAAATGAAGGTCAAAGTTTCCAGTCTCGATTTAAATATTGTTTCAAAAAAAGAATTCATTAAAAATATCCTACGGTCAAATCAATATGGGAAACACTGGTCTAACAAATCATAGCATTTTTTTTCTTTTTAGACTTCTTAAAAAAGGTTTTTAACTGTATACATTAATATGGTAACTGCTATATTTCTCTGAAAGGGTAATACTGCATATAACATTTCCCAGATTTATTTGCTAATAAAACGTTTTTAAATACAGAACCTTTCTTAAAGGACATTTTGGGAAATGCTACTTTAAACACATACACAAACTTACACAGCTAGGTATGAACTATGTGAAAGATAATACAATAGTATAGGCCTTAGCAATGAAAGATCAGAATCCTATATTGTTTTATTTCAATATGTATAATGGATAACAAATTTGAGATAAGAAATAGGCCCATACTAGTAAATACATTTTAGAATTACTCAAGGGGTTGTGAACACAATACTGTGTACAGATGATGTGTTGTGCAAAAGTGTATCTGAAACCTGTATAAATCTGTTAACCAGTGTCACCCCAATAAATTCAATAAAAAGAAAAAAAATTACTTAAGATTCTAAGATTTGCCACTTTTAATAAATTGAACCCTCCCCCTCATGACCAATTCTAAGTTTTTGCCCAAGTCTCATTCATATGTCTAAGAAACAGTCTTCATATTCCACAACCATCACAAAGTAATTTTAATAGATCTTTCCTTCTGTGCTATTAACTGTATCAAATTACCTGAGCTGACTGCACCAGCTTGCTGTAGAGAGCTATTTTTCCTTGGTGAGTGAAGATTTTAGTCATCTTTGTAAAATGTGATTTTATTTTGTTCAGGTAAATTCCAAAAGCCTTCAGCTGTAAGTTAGAAAAGGCAAATGATCTGAGTAGACTGGTTCAGATGATACATGCTAAGCTTTGCCCATTCTAAACTCTGATACCTAAAGGGCACTTCTCATTTACAAATTTAATTCCACTGAATAGTTTAAAAGCACAACCAAATATTTTAATTTTGATTCCTGCTTTTATTAGAAATTTAAAAATGACAGGCCCTTACTTAATAAAACTCTTTTAATATATTAGGACACATTAAATGAGTTACTTAATTATTTATTTAATTAAATCTTTTCCTCATCTAAATCTAAGTGAAAAATAAACAAGGAGAGAACTCTAAATAAACCTCAACTCCATTTCATATATTAAATTGATAAATTCAGGTTTGAAAAAATTATACATTATAACTACTCATGTATAATTAAAACCTTGGTAACATACTACATCTGAGAAGTAAATTAAGGAACTTATCATTAATTACCAAGTAATAGTCACCTATTTCATAATAAGAATTGTTCAAAATGTCTATAATGATTCCCATTCAGAAAACGAGACAAAAGTACCTCCTCATCAGAGCAATGTCTCATTTTTTCCCATAGGTTCCTATTTACATGAGTCAACAGTTTATCTTGATTCAGTGCAGAAAGCTTTAATCTAAAATATAAAAAAGTTCATTAGTACAGGGTTCAGAAGTCAACTTAAATGAATCAACGCTGATCTACAGGCCTACTTAATTCTTCCTACTCCCTTTTCTACATAAAAAGAGGGGAATTCATTCAAGAACAGTGACCAGCCTTATTATTTTTCAACAGTTAAAAAATGTTATGAATCAAAAAACTTCTCACAGCCTTGGCCACTTGGCTCAGCAGTTGGAGCATTGGCCTGTGGACCAGAGAGTCCTGGGTTCAGTTCCCACTAGGGGCATATACCAAAAAAAAACAACTTCTCACGACTTATAGTCAAGATGGTGGCGTAGGTAAACACGGTACTCGCCTCCGCATCAAAATGACAACTGAACTATAGAAGAAACATCCTTCAGAATTGAATGGAAGTCCTACATCTATGAAATTGAAGAAGCAGCCACGAGATTGGTAGGCGGGTTTGAGGCACAGACAGGTTGTCCCACATCCGTGTGGTGGATAAAAATCAACACAGATACCTCAGCTCTGAAGGTCCTTCCTGAGGAGTGAGAGGTCCCTGTCCCATACCAGGACCCCCAGCTCAGGGTTCCAGTGCCAGGAAGAGAAGTCCCCATAACTATGGCTGTAAAATCCAGCAGGAATTGAGGATGAGGAGATGGTGGCTGTTGGAGTTCCAGGTAGTTCTTCTTAAGGGGCTCGCCCAACACAGACATTAGGGGAAGAATTGAGTTGTTCGGCATAGGGGTAAGGGCTGGAGAGGCAGCTTTCTCCAGGACAGACATTGGTGTAGGCCATTGTTCCTTTGGTGAGCCCTTCCCCCAAGAGGCCTGCAGATAGGCACTATATCTGGGACTCCAGCAACGGGGCTCACACTGTTTGCCCCACCACAGTTATTCCCTGAGGCCCTGCCCCACCCAACTTTTGGGCCCACCCAAGCTGTTTCCAGTGGCTTTACCATAGGATTGGCCTGTTTTGGCTCCTGCTTCAGAGTTTCCTAAATTCTCTCAAATAAGCAGCATCTGGCCTCAGGGAGCCCCATACCTCTAGCTAAATGGCCCCGGGCCCCACACTAGAAGAACCCAGCCTTAGTTCACAACTTGGCTTTTCCTGGGCACCTCCAAGCCCAGCACAAGAAGCAGTCATTGGCAGATAGCTTTGTAGCTTATGCCTAGTACCTCTGGGTAGAACACAGGCAGTGGCTGACCTTACCCCAGAGCCAGCACACCCAGTGGACAGCCACAGACCACATGGAAGCACCATCACCTAACAACCTCCACAAGTGACATACTCAAGGAGTGGCCTCAGTGGGCACCAGAGCCCTGCAGAAGTAAGCCTTGCTCTGTGTGGTGGGCCCCTACACAGCTGATCATCCAAGGTAGTCAGAGGTCAGTGGGCACAGCCAGTCCTTGCAGCTGATCAGCCAGAGTAAATCCCTCCCACTGATGTGCCAACAGCAATCAAGACTCAATTACAACAGAAGGGTGCAAAGTTCACATGAGGGGTGCACCTCAAGGGCCTGACTGGGGTGACCAGGGAGGCTGTGCCACTGGACCCTACAGGACACCTACTACAATAGGCCACTCTAAGAAGCCTAGGAGACATAACAACTCTATTTAATTAATACATAGAAACAAACACAAAAGAGGCAACCAAAATGAGGAGACAAAGAAACATGTGCCAAATGAAAGAACAGAACAAAACTTCAGGAAAAGAACTAAAGGAAATGGAGATAAGCAATCTAACAGATACAGAAATCAAAACACTGGTTATAAGGATGCTCAATGAACTTAGTGAGAATTTCAGGGAACTTCATAAGAACTTCAAGGAATTTAGTGAGGACCTCAAGAGCATAGAAAAGGACCAGACAGAAATGAAGGATGCGCTAATTGAAATAAAAAGTAATTTACAGCCCTGGCCGGTTTGGCTCAGCGGTTAGAGTATCAGCCTGCGGTCCCAAGAGACACGGGTTTGGTTCCCACTAAGAATTCAAAACATGTATCTCGGTTGCAGTTTGTCCCCGGCCCTGCTTGGGTCATGTGGATGGCAGCCACTTGATGTGTCCCTTTCACATCAATGTTTCTCTCTCTCTCTTCCTCTCTCTCCCTCCCACTCAATCTGAACAAAAAAATGAAAAAATGTCCTCAGGTGAGAATTAAAAAAAAAGTAATTTACAGGACTCAATAGTAGAGTAGGCAACCCAAGAAGCAAACCATTGATTTGGAATATAAGGAAGCAAAACATAACCAATTAGAACAGCAGAAAGAAAAAAAATTTTAAAAAATGATGATAATGTAAGGAGCCTCTGGGACAACTTCAAGTGTGCCAACATTCACATCATGGGGGTGCCAAAAGGAGAAGAGAGAGCAAGAAATTGAAAACCAATTTGAAAAATCTAATTGAAAACCTATGTGACAGCCCTGGCCGGTTTGGCTCAGTGGTTAGAGCGTCGGCCCATGGACCAGAGAGGCTTGGGTTTGGTTCCTGCTAAGGGCACGTACCTCGGTTGTAGTTTGTCCCCAGCCTCGGTTGGGGTCGTGTGGGTGACAACTAGTCAATATGTTTCTCTCACATTAATGTTTCTTTCTCTCTTCCTCCCTCTCTCCCTCCCGCTCTATCTGAAGATGCATGCAAATAAAAGTCCTTGGGTGAGGATAAAAAAAAAAAAACGAATACAGGAAACTTCCCTAACTTGGTGAAGGAAACAGACATACAAGTCCAGGAAGCACAGAGAGTCCCAGACAAGGTGAACCTGAAGAGGTCCATACAAAGACATATCATCATCAGAATGCAAAAGTTTCGACAAAGAGAGAATCTTTTTTTTTTGATCCTCAACCAAAGATATTTTTACATGTATCTTCAGACAGAGTGGGAGGGAGAGAGAGAAACATCAATGTGAGAGACAGCAAGACCCCGATCAAGGCTGGGGAGGAACCGCAACCGAGGTACGTTCCCTTGCTGGAATCAAACCTGGGCTCTTTGGTCCATGGGCCAATGCTCTAACTACTGAACCAAACCAGCCAGGGCACAAAGAGAGAATCTTAGAAGCAGCAAGAGAAAAGCAGTCCGTTACCTACAACGAGCTTCCATAAGACTGTCAGCTGATTTCTCAAAAGAGACTTTGCAGGCCACAAAGAAGTGGCAAGAGATATTCAAGGTGATGAAAAGCAACGACCTACAACCAAGATTGCTCTATCCTGCAAAGCTATCATTTATAATCAATGGACATATCAAGAGTTTCCCAGATAAGAAAAAGCTAAAGGAGTTCATCACCACCAAACTAGTATTATATGAAATGTGGAAGGGTCTTCTTGAAGGAGAAGAACAAAAATACGAACAATAAAATGGCAGTAAATACATATCTATTAACAATTGAATCTATAAATATCTATTAACAATTGAATCTATAAACAAAATGAGAAAGCAGAACAGAAACAGACTCATAGATACAGAGAACTTTTTGGTGGTTGCCAGATGGGAGGGGTGTTGGGAGTGTGGGTGAAAAGGTGAAGGGATTAAGAAGTACAAATTGGTTGTTAGACTGATGAACCTCAAAGGGAAGGAGGGAGGTGGGGCAGGAAGAGAAAAACCAAATAACTTATATGCATAACCAATAGACACAGACAATAGTGTGGGGAAGGCCTGATGGGGGTGGAAGTGGGGAGGGAGTGGGGATGAGTGGGTCAAGGGGGAAAAAAGGAGGGACAGCTGTAATACGCGTAACAATAAAGATAAGTTTTGAAAGGAAAAAAAAACCCCTCACAAATAGATATCTCTTCTTAATGTTATCAGCTTATTTCAACATGAAAACACAATGCTAATAAAGAATCCTTATGGCCTGTAAATGCATATTTGTGAAGTTGTAACAATTATTTTAAATAAAAGTTCCCAATTCAGTTCGAAGTCCTATTTCACCTTTACAGAATAGCATTTATAAAAGTAGCAAAGATATATATTAGTCTCTTGTTAATAAGCAGAAGAAATAAATTTCTATCAGAGTTAAAGATATATACAGGCATAAAAATGTAAAATCAAATAGTAGAGCACATCTAAACAGACTACTCATTGTATTTCATTAAAAATAAAACATTCTTAAACAAATCATGAGATGCCCAACTCATTTAAACAACATGAAGAAACTTGTCTGACTTGTTCAATGAAGAACCCCAGTACTTAGAACAGTTCCTAACACATAGCAGGTGCTCAATATATGTATTTGTTGTAATAATTTGACAGTATCTTAAGTCTCTGTTTTTAAGACTACATACTTTTCTGCTAGATTGGTTCAGATTTAGTCAGATAGCTCTAGATAAGTATGATATAAAGATTATTTTGGGTTGCAAGTCCTAATCTACCTGTGGGAATCTAGATATACTGTACCAAATTTGTAAATTAATCCACAGTATCTATATATACCAAAACACTAAGCTACAGTCTGGGTAAAACCATGTTCTTTTATACATGCAAATCAAAGGCAAATGTGATTAAATTACAAACCCTAAGACATTCTTGCTTTTAGGTGCTATATATAAATCTATAAAGTGACATCTCTCTATTGAAGATGTTGCTTTGCAATCAATTTATGATGTCATAATTTAATAATTGTTCACTGAGGGCATATTTTGTTAAAAATGGAATCAAAACATTTTATATACATAATTTTCTACTGTTCATATCTACCTTCTGAGTAGCTATCATCCCCAATTTATGGATGTGGAAATAAAGGTTAAATGACTTAAATAATGTTAGTTAGTGTTATAGCCAGAATTGAACTTCAATCTGAAAGCTAAACTCTTTCTATAAGCATACTGTATTATCTCACCAATTAATGCCATCAGCTTTTTTCTTTTTTTTTTTAATACATTTTTTTTTTAATCCTCACCCGAGGACATTTTTCCATATTTTGTTCAGATACAGTGGGAGGGGGAGAGAGAGAGAAACATCGATGTGAAAGGGACACATCGAGTGGTTGCCACCCGCACAACCCAACCAGGGCCGGGGACAAACTGCAACCGAGGTACGTGCCCTTAGCGGGAACCGAACCCAGGTCTCTCTGGACCGCAGGCCGACGCTCTAATCGCTGAGCCAAACCAGCCAGGGCCCATCAGCTTTTTTCTATGCCAGTATTATTCTAATGAAAACCTTACCACACAGATTGTTCACCCACCCAACAAACACAGAAAAATGAAAACTTTCATACTCTTCAATCTTTTGGCGAAGAGCCTCACAATCTTCTCTATAAATCTGTATCTTGGGTCGGTAAACATATTGACTTAACATCAGATCTTCTGGAGTAGGTTGAGTGTTTATAGTAAACTGGAAAAAAAAACAGTCCATCAAAACTGGTGTTTTGAAAACAAACCATATTTAAGAACTGTTTCAAGTTTCAGAATGTCTATATTTTAAAGTTCAACAAAGAAAAATTTGAATACTCTATTAAAATTCTTACACCCAGGAATGTTATAAGTTTGAATTTGAATTCAAGTCTCTGACATCAAAGTCCATTTTCCACAGATGTTTAGGGAAACTGTAGATGTTCCACTTACATGGAATTGTGATGTTATTTATTTATTTGTAAATCCTCACCCGAGGATAGTCTTCCATTTATCTCCAGATAGAGTGAGAGAGAGGGAGGGAGGGAGATAGAGAGAAACATCAACGTGAGAGGGACACATTGACTGGCTGCCTCCCGCATGACCCCAACTAGGGCCAGGGATAAACTGCAACTAAAATACGTGCCCTTGACCGGAATTGAACCAGCGACTCATTGGTCTGTGGACCGACACTCTAACCACTGAGCCAAACGGGCCAGGGCTGTAAGTTATTTTATTTATTTATTGTTAAAATATTTTTTATTTATTGATTTTAGAGAGGGAAAGAAAGAGAGAGAGAAACATCGATGAGCGAGAACACTGACTGGCCACCTCCTGCATGTGCCCCACCAGGGATCAGCCCCACAACCTGGGCATGTGCCCTAACCGGGAATCGAACCAGTGACCTCTTGGTGCACGGGGTCAACACTCAACCAGTGAGCTACACCAGCAGGGCTGTGATTTTAAAATGGCTATGCCTCAACCCATGCACCAACTGGTCACTCAACAAAGGTGGGGGGAAAAATTGGCTATACAATATTTTAAGTAAATCAACACCTAAAAATTCATTAGCTTTACCATTTACCTGCATTAACTATCCTCCTGCCTTTTAAGGAAAAATGTTTTTATTGATTTGTTAGAGAGTGAGGAAGGGAGAGAGATAGAAACATCAATGTGAGAGAGAAACATAGATTGGCTGCCTCCTGCACACCCACCACTAAGGATGAACCCGCAACCTGGGCATGTACTGTGACCAGGAATCCAACCAGGACCTCTCAGTTCATGGGACAATACTCAATCCACTAAGCCAAACCTGCTGTGCTGCTTCTTAATTTCTAAGAACCTAAAGAATGCTTAGGCCTTTTATTAGTTCTAATTTTATTGGATTAAGATCAGATGATATGGTCCATAAAATCTCCATTTTTTAAATTTGTTAATGTTTTCTTTGTGGCTAAGGGCATAATTGTTTTTTTTAAATGTTCAACAGACTTAAGAGATAAAATATTCCTATGAAAGTATTATGTTTTTCTAATAATCTTTTAGATTTAGTTTGTTGATTGTATTATTCAAATATTCTGTGATCTTACATGTTTATTTTGAAAAATGTTTATTAAAAACTGCTATTCTTAGCCCAGTTGGTGTGGCTCAGTGGCTGAGCATCGACCCATGCACCAAGAGGTGGCCGGTTCAATTCCCACTCAGAGCACATGCCCAAGTTGTGGGCCCGATCCCCACTGGGAGGCACGGGGGAGGCAGTCAATCGATGTTCTCTCTCATTGATGTTTCTAGCTCTTTCTCTCTTTCCCTTCCTCTCTCTCTAAAATCAATAAAAAAATATTTAAAACAAAAAAATTGCTATTCTTAGATTTTTATAATTGTGGGAAAGAGCATATGTTCAGGAAAAAAGTATCAAAAACAAAATAAATGACAAGAAATGAGAAATATAAAATTTTACCTTATGAAAATTCATAATATAAAATATCATTTTTAAAAAAATATTTTTCTCTACTGATTTTAGAGAGAGAGGAAGGAAGAAGGAGAGAGAGATAGAAACATTGATGAGAGAGAACATCTACTGGCCACCTCCTGCATGTCCCTCCACTGGGGATTTGGCCCACAACCTGGGCATATGCCCTGATTGGAAATTGAACTGGCAACCTGTTGGTGCATGGGTCAATGCTCAACCACTGAGTCACACCAGCCAGGCATAATATTGATTTTTATGCTAACCACAAATTATAGCTATTATAGAAAAACTTTTACAGGAAAATTTACGTCCTTAGATTCTTTTTTTCCCCCTGAATAAAAGCTTGCTTTGATGCAGTTTAGTAAATAAGTATAATATATTCTAACCGAGGCAACTATTTTGCCAAGAAATTGCACTTACTTTGGCTGGGAGAGTGCTCTGTCGGGGTTTCTGTATCAAAATGTGGACTTGAAGAAGTATAAAGAATTCCTTTATTGTTATTCTCCCATCTTTGAGTTTCTGAGGAAAGAAAAAAAAGTTTGCATGACTATTCAAGGTGAACTCGTTGATTATAACCACCTTATTTGTACTTTGCATATATTTGTGAAAATACTATACAGATATCTGTAGGCTGTACATGAATAGATTTTATCTAAAATTTATTTCTTAAGGTTATTCAGTAACAGTAGAATTGGGGAAAAAACAACAACAAAAAAAAACTTAAGTCTTCTAATCATTATTTCTACTGCCATGCTGGGTTCTTAACAGAGAAAAGAAAATTCATCTTCTATATATTTAAAACATTTCGTAATTTTTTTTAAATTAAAAAAAGAGAAAACAAAATAAGGAAATTAATTACATTAGAAATGGGAAATCCTTTAACATACCTCCTTCAAGCTCTCTTCACAAATAGTGTCTGTGAGAAACTGTGATTCCATTTGACTATTACGGTACGCTATAAGTAAGGTAAATTCAGGTGATGAACAAGTCAAAATTAAATTGTAAACTTAATTTTAGTTATCATTCAGGTTTATGTGTGGTTTATACTCCTGAAGCTATCCTTTAGGATCTTGCTGGAAAGACAGTCATTTGTAGAGCAAAGTATATTACACTTTAAGTCTCCATTCAATATTTCTCTACTGAGTATAAGCCTCTTAAAAAAATTGATCTACTCCATGTAGTTACTTCACTTCTCTATTTATTAAAATAGCTAAGAATTAAATATAAAGTAAACATTATTTTACTTACCAACTATTTATAACCCCCAAATTTATAACAAATTTCAAACATCTCCTGAACTGAAATACATTTATTATTAGTCAAGTAAGCAGATGACTTGTATTAGTTAGCTTTCATGAAGATTATCTTACTGCTGAAGTCCAGAGAGGTTCCATCAGCCTTGATCGAATCCAGAGAACTGCTGCAACTAGATGGGGTCCTGCCCAGGCTTTTTATCAATATACTGTTAGCATTTTTATCTATATCCCCTTCAACATGGTGATCAAAAATCTGAAATTATCAATTAAGGAACATCATTAGGATAAAGTTATAATACGGAATACTTATAGTGATTAAATGTTTGTTGATCACTAACAGAAATACTTCTAACATAAATTTTATGTATAAATCTTAGAAGATCCCTTAGCAAAGAATTAGAATAAATAACAGGCAACTGAAGCCTTTAGAGTTAAAAGTAATTTTATTTTAAAATACATAGAGATAGCTTTGTGCATTACACTGTATAAGCAAATTATTTCTCAAATGTTATCTAAGTTACAGTCAGATCTTATGAGCTATCAAATGTTGACCTATCCAATTATTCAACTACTAGCCACCAGGGTCAGGGCTATCACACTGCAGAAAACCAGAAGAGAAAATTGGCTGTATATGGTGTCCCTGGCTAGAGTACAGAAAAGAAACTTTATTTCCAGGCTTTAGTACTTTCTTGTTTTGGTAACCAAAACTCCTTTGGTTGAAGTCAAATAAGTCATGTGATGCTTTTTTTATCATTTTAATCATTTGACTTTACAGCCTTAAATGTTATTTTCGTCTACCTACTTACATATATTTTTGAGGACATTATATTCTTTATCTAAATGCTAGAATGTAAGCTTCATGAGAGCAGATTTTTGTCTATAAATTCCCACTGAGGCATTCCTGGCAATCTAAATAGTACCTAGGACATGGCAGACACTCAATAAATATTTATTGAACAAAACAGTACTAATTTTCATAGAACCTATTCAGGTATACATTTTATATTACTGATACTACTTTCTCAAAGCTTCACAGACAAACCATTCCCTCAACACCTCATGTTATAGAACTGTTAATCATCTTCTAAGCTTATGTATTCCTTAAGAGTTTGTTTTCTTTATTTATCCTCACCCGAGGACATTTTTTTCCATTTTTTGCACAGACAGAGTGGGAGGGAGAGAGAGGAAGAGAGAGAGAGAGAGAAACATCGATGTGAAAGGGACACATCGAGTGGCTGCCACCCGCACGACCAACCAGGACCGGGGACAAACTGCAACCGAGGTACATGCCCTTAGCGGGAACCGAACCCGGGTCTCTCCAGACCGCAGGCCGACGCTCTAACCGCTGAGCCAAACCGGCCAGGGCTTAAGCTTTGTTTTCTATGAACCTCTGATACTTTAAAAATATATTACTGATTTTTATTTATTTATTTTTTAATCTTCACCAGAGGATATATTTTCCATTTATCTTTAGATAGAGTGGGAGGGCGGGAGGGGGTAGAGGGGAGGGAGGGAGGAGAGAGAGAGAGAGAGAGAGAGAGAGAGAGAGAGAGAGAGAGAGAGAGAGACTGGTTGCTTCCTGCAAGACCCCTGCCAACCCCTACCGAGGGATTGAGCCTGCAATCTGGGTAGGTGCCTTGGCGGGGAATCCAACCCGCAACCTTTTGCAGCCCAGACGACGCCCAACCAGCTGTTACACCAGCCAAGGCAAACGTCTGATACTTTTAATCTTTATTTTTCCACTTATAAAACTCTGAGTGACAGGTTTTATTCTTCCAAATTATCCAAATCAGTATCCCTTTACTTTAAAGATTTATTAATTGTTTTAGAGAGAGAGAAAGAGAGAGGGGGAGAGAGAAACATCTATATGATATGAGAGCGGAACACTGACTGCTGCCTGCACACACCCTACCAGGGATAGAGCTTGAAACCTGGACATGTGCCCTGACCAGTAACTGAACCAGCAATCTTTTGGTGCACAGAAAGATGCCCAACCGAGCCATATGGGCCAGGGCAGTGTCCCTCAACTTTAATATCTACAACATCTACAACCTCGTTCATAAATACAAAATCTCACTTCACTTTGAGATATTGGGCTTGACCTACTCATTTTCCCATCCACTAAAGAAATGGACTTTTAGCCCTGGCTGGTTTGGCTCAGCGGTTGGAGCGTCGGCCTGCGGTCCTGAGAGACCCGGGTTCAGTTCCCGCTAAGGGCGCGTACTTCGGTTGCAGTTTGTCCCTGGCCCTGGTCGGTCGTGCGGGTGGCAGCCACTCGATGTGTTCCTTTCACATCGATGTTTCTCTCTCTCTCTGTTCCTCTTTCTCCCTCCCACTCTACCTGAACAAAAAATGAAAAAATGTCCTCGGGTGAGGATAAAAAAAAAAAAAAAAAAAAAAAAGAAAAAAAAAAAAAAAAAAAAAGAAATGGACTTTTAGTTTCTCCATATCCTCATTAGCCAAGAAAATTCAGTCCAGCTTTTCTTTTGCATAATAAAAAAACTTTTTACCCTCCAAATATTTATAACACTGAAGATAACTTTTCAAACTACTTATATCCTGCCTAGAAATTTTCATATGCAAAACCATGAGAAATCACCAGAGGTAACAGAATATTCAGAATTATACAATTTCAACATTAATTTTTGTACTACTTTCCATTTCATTTTTTGTGACTATTTGTCACTTCAAATTGTTAAGTCTAGCTGTTAGTCAAGTAATTCCTTAACATTCTACAAAGAAATATTTCCTCAGGCCTATAATAGAAAATATGCAATTCATGATTACCCAAGACTAAAATTAAAAATCAAGACTGCGCATACATTTTTAAAAATCAAAACATTCCTTAGTTCAAGACAGAGCTCACCTGCTGATCTTGTGCAGTATCACTAAACTTAATCTCACTTTTTCTGACTTTTTTCTCATTCTGAATATCATCATCGTCTGGTACCCAAGTTCTTTTTTGGCTATTGTAGGTTTCTTTCATTTTATTTTCAGATGGTGAAATCTCTTTTTGGTGTGTCTCAATCAAAGCCTTTTCCTCAGTTTCTATGCTAATAGAGTCTGCGGAATTAATCTCACCAGGATATACAGGAAGATTTTCCTCATTTATATACTGAGATGGACTTAAGTTCAGTTTATCTGAAATAAATTCAATGCCCGAATCTTTACTGGAGACTGGTGGAGTTTCTAAGTGGTTTAAATCAGCTGTATCTGATGGAATCTGCTTCAGGTCATCAATACCAGTGACACTACAATTTCTCTTGTTTGGCAATCTGGGCAAAAATATTCCCAAAGAACATCTCCTCACTTTATCTTTTACAACTGTCATTGATGGCACAGAGTTGGTTTCAGCTCCGTTATGAAAAAATTTATTTTCTTCATCTCTATCATCTTTAACATTGTTGGACACTGTGTTAATATTATTTATTTCTGTAGCTTGCACTATACTCATATCACTGTCTGCCTTATTTACTAATTCAAGTAATTGTTTCGGAAAAGGTGGTATATGAATAGCTTGGAAATCTAAAAATTCTTCAGTTTTCCCATTCAGATTTGGTTTGCTACTAAAACTTGCAGCATTAGATGCAATTACAGGCTCTGATGCTTCTTTAGGATTGGCATGAGTTTGGATAACTTGCTTAGTCAAGTCTGAATTACTGTGAAAGTCTGTGTCTATTTTACATTTAGCTGTTTGGATATTTTTCTTCAGTTCTTTTTCACAGGCTACAGTAAACTGTTTCTCATTGAGCATTTTGGACTCGTTTTCAAATGCGGGAACAGAGGAATTTCTTATAACAATATTTAAGCTCTTACTTCCAGCTTTAGACAATATTGTTTTATCCTTATTAATAATACTCTGTCCTTGTTGAGGTAATGGAGGTAAGTGGGTTGAGAGATGAGGCTGAGAACCAACACAAACATCATCAACAAAGGTCTGCTTTAAACTGTGTTCTGCATTATGAACAATGTCTTCCATTTGATCCTCTGGAAGCTTAAAAGATACTTGCTTTGAATCAAGTTCGGTCACGTTTCCCAAATCCTGACCATATACTAAAGTTTGGTTAGTTAATAGATTTTGGTGCTCCTTAATCAGGTCTTGATCTTTGAGCACTGTTATGACACAGTTACCTGACTGTCCTTTGGTATTAGTTTGAATAACTGTTTCCTTCTCTAACAAAGAACAAGGAGCAGAGAGAGGCAGTCCATCAGATTTCAAGTAATATTCACTGGTTAAACTGTTTGCATAAGCAAGATCATTTTGCACTGGGCAATCACTGGCTTTCTCATCTTGATCACATAAGGACATGACATTCCCTTCCAAATTATCAAAATAGGAAATAACATTTGGTAAACAGGAATAATTATCACTGGATCCACAAACAGCAGGTGCATGACTATTTGCAAAATCTACATTTCTATCTGTGCTATTTAAGTGGCAGCTTTCAAGTTTGGCTTTTTCCAAAGTATAGGCCTGGTCTACAACTTTTGCCATGACCTTTTCATCTGTAGCAGTACTACGGAATGTGATGATTTCTGTCTTGCCTTGATCCCCAGACAATGTATTAGAATAGGGTATCACATGATGTTTTGGCTCAGCTTGGAGAACAATTTTGTTTTCTACAGCCTGTGCTTGTCTTTTAGAGATTTCTTGAACAGAGCTACTACCATCCTTAGGAAAAGAAACACCCAAGGTTTTTCTTTTTGTTACTGCTAATTTAGGGCACTCTTGAAGTATTTTCTCTGTGGCTTGACAATCAATGAAAGCCGTATGGGACTTGGTGACTTCCAGATCACTGTGATTATCTATAAACACCACAGTATTTTCCATAGGTCTAGTGGTTATTTTAACTGGTGAGACAGTTTCACATTCTATGGCAGTTGTGTGACTTCTAGTGACCTCCATGTCATCCTGCCCACATGTATACAAAACAGTTTTCGAAGTTCCTGCCAAAGGCACCAAAGAGGAGTCTTTTCTGTCTTCCAGGGCACTTTTGTTATTTATTTCCACTGTACAACTCTGGATGATGTCTACATCATTTTTATCATTACTTGAAAATGCAATGGGCTTGTCATTTTTTAGTCTAAGGCTTTTCCTTCTTTGACTTTTGCCTGACAGAGGTTCATTCAGAAATTCAGGCTTTTGTACATCTTTGTTATTTTTCCAAATGGTTGATGTAGACACTTCCATGTTCTCATGAGCTATAAATCCTACAGCTTTTTCTACAGGACCACTAGACCGTTCCCCACATAGTGTTAGCTGGTTGACTTTTGCTGCTGAATGGTTACTTTCACCATTCTCTGGAAAGAAAACACTCTCCTCGTCAGGAGAAGTCACTTTTGGTTTTCCTAGGCTTTTCCTTTTGGATAATTCAAAGTCGGATCTGTCTGGAGGCACAGTTCCTTCCTTCGCTTGGTAGTCAATGAAAACAGTGTGGGACTTTGTCATTTCTAGTTCATCGTGATTATCTGTAAACATTACAGTTTTGTCCACAGGCCTGGTAGTTACTTCATCTGGTGAGACAGTTTCACATTCTATGGCAGTTGTGTGACTTCTAGTGACCTCCATGTCATCCAGCCCACATGGATACAAAACAGTTTTCGAAGTTCCAGCCAAAGGCACTAAATGGGAATCATGTTTATCAAATAAAGGTCTATGATTTATTTTCAATGTATAACTTTTGGTGATATCCATATCATTCTCATCACCCTCTGAAAATATAACAGTCCTATCAATTTTTAATCTGTCAATACTTTCCTTTCCACAAATTTTGACATCTTTCAATTCATTCAGAAATCTAGGTTTCTGCACACTTCTGCCCTCCAACACATCCATATCATTAAAAATAAACACTCCAGTTTTTTCTATAGGAGTTTTATTAAATTTTCCAACATTTACAGCTACCTGTCTGTTTATTAGTTGGCTGTTAGTATTTTCTAAGTTAGTCTTATCAAGTTCTTGTACTTCAGAAGGACCAAATCCAATGACAACAGTATGACTCTTGGTTAAATCCATATTTTGCTCCTTTTCTGAACAAATAATTATCTTGTCATGAGTACAGTCAAGGGTGAGACTGTTTGAACTTTTTCTCAGTGACTCAGGCAGATTAGAATCCTGGCCTGGTACAGATTTTACTATATGACTGTTAACAGCATTATTATGATTTTCCATGGCAGATCGTCCTTCTGATGAAAATAGTTTTGTGGTGGAAAACAAAGATTGCTCACATAAAACTGTATTTCTATTCTTTCCCAGTGCTACTTGTTTATTAAGATCTCCACCAGAGCATACTATATTATAGCTTGTTGCTTTGTCCTGGTTAATATCAACTGACTGAGGAGAAACTTTATGGAGAGAGGGTGAAATCTTCAAAACTTGATCTATTTCTTTGCCCCAGGTGTCAGTTAGGATGTTTTTAGATATTATTTTTGGTTGTCGGGATAGTTCATTATGACTTTTGGCCATTTTTTCCCATTCATCTAAAAGGTTTTTGCTGTCAGAGTGAGATTTACTGGCATCCTCTGATGCTACATTATAAGATGCAAGAACAGCTTGACTTCCTAAATTAGTTGTGTGACATTTAGTCAAATCCTCATCTTCACCTGCAAAAATTACAGTCTTTTTGCCAGTCAATGAAACAGAAACAGGATTTGCCTGATCCTGTTGTAATTTTCCCTTAGATATATGAGGAATTGAGCTACAATTTAAATTCATTTCCTCATCTTTTGACATAGTTATGTGATTTTGGAGCATCATTTCTTTTTCAGATATTGGTATGGCTGTTATCTGTACATTTGTCTGACCTTCTTTAAAAATCTGATTATCTATTGCAACTGTGTGACTCTTGGTAATGTCCATGCTATCCTCTCCTGAATAAATAGTTTTCTCTATGAGAAGAGAGTTGGGATCTGGATTATAATATATTTTGGCACAATTACGGTCATGCTTTGGCAAATTTTTTTCCTCTTTCATACTTGAAAAACACTTGGTCAGTTCCATGGCATCATTACAACTAGAATACATAACTGTCTTATAATCTTGAATTGCTGGATTGGAACATATAGATTCTGGGATCATGGCGAATGTTCTGACATCTTGATTAGAAGTCTGTGTGACTGTGTGAGTTTCTGTCCCCATAACGTGACCTCTGGTAATATGTATTTCACCTTTAGGGTTTAAGGAAGAGTCTGGAAAAGCAGCATTTGATTTATTCTCAAAGAATGTCTTCTTTCCTGGAGCTTTAGTTGTACAATCTGTTGTAACATCCATCATGACAGTCTGAGTTTTATTTTCTATTTCAGATAAATTATCTGCTGAGGGTAAAATTTGTAGAGTGTGGTTTATTGTCAAGTCCATTAAGTCATTGCCATAAACTGTAATATCATCACTTTTGAATTCTCTTAAGCTGGCCTCACTGGATGTGGGAACCAAACTCTGAATATTGGCTGTATGACACTGGGTGAAATTCATCCCATCATCTTGTTCTTGAAAGATTCTAGTTATATTACTGCTATTTTCATCTACATTAAGGGAAACATGCATTTGATGTACGGAAGAGGCCTCAGGTTCTTTGGAATGAAGAGACAGCTCAGAATTTTCTTTATCAGGTCCTGTAGAAAAAGCATTAAATTTCGCTGTTTTCAATCTTTTTATGAAGTTATTGAAATTTATTTTCTTTTCTGAATTAGTATTTTGATCCATGGAAAAATTTAATTCTTTTTTCATTCTTGAATCCTCAGTGTGAAGCTTTAAGTTAGCCAGAAACGATGTGGTATCTATCTTGGTGGACTTTTCACTTTTTGCATTATCTAAAAGGCCTTTGGTAATCATCACGGTGTGACTTGCTGTCAGGTCCATCTGATTTTCATCTGAAAAGATGACTGTCTGGTCATTTGAATGTTTCTTTTCATGGTTGTGTTCTGTAATTGAAATCTAGAATGAAAGCAAAATATTTAAAAAATCAAATAAAATGAAAACTTTAAAAAAGGTATTTTATAACATGTACTATATAAATAATTATCACTGATGGTTTCATGATACATTGCTTTGTTTGAATCAATTGTGTGGTGTGTAGTATGTAATGTTATTAAAATTTATTCTATAGTCTTTGAATACTTGTAGTGTTTCCAGACAAATTAAAAGTTCAAGGTTAATTATACATCCATTAGAATGATTAAAAAATAAAAAGGACTGACAATACCAAATGCAAATATAATAAAAATTCTAATTACTGTATTAGATAGGTCATTCTGATTTTAAATAAAAAAGATTCAGAAAGGGTTAAGTGGATGATGGCTAATTCACAGAACACTGTACTCTTGGGAGTTGGGTTCTCTTTGAATCATAGTGCAGTGATTTTATTTGTTAGGATATGATCAAATTCATTGTTACTCAAAGTATGGTCTATAGACCAGTGCACTAGTAACACCCAGAAGATTGTTATAAGTATATAATCTCAGGGCCTATGCTAGATCTACTGGATAAGAATCTATATTTTAACAAAATCCTGAGATGATTCCTATGCCCATTAAAATTTGAGGAGTCCTGATACAACTAATATATTTTCCCTGTTACTTAAACTGGCAGTAATTTAACTTTCCATAGTTAACTTAAAGGGTAGGAAGTTTTTCCAGTCTATGGGTCCATTTAGGTAGGTAACCCCTAAATCTTGCCATTACCATTAAATTCTGAGTTTTCAAAAGTTTTAACTGTTAAGGAAAATTAAAATACAAAAGCACTTGCATTAACTCATACCTCTCTCTGTTGCATCTGGGTCTGAATGGGAGCACTAAGCAATGTGTTCATTCCTATTGAGAAAAAAAGAAAAAACTATAGTTAGTGACAAAAATATATATCACCAAGAGCCTAACTTTCCTTTTGTTTAGGTTCTTCATCAGTTACAGGTTCAGTAGCCCCTATTCAGTGGATTTGCTTTTTGCGGTCTCACTTATCTTGGTCGACCATGGTCTAAAAATATTAAATGGAATATTCCAGAAATAATTCATAAGTTTTAAATTGCATGCCATTCTGAGTAGCAATATGAAATCTTAAGCCATCCTGCTTCATTCTGCCTGGGACATGAATCATCCGTTAGTCCAGCATACCCACACTGTATATACTGCCTGCCTGTTAGTCACTTATTAGCCATCTTGGTTATCAGATCTATTGTGCTTGTGTTAAAAAAATAACCTTGCCCTAGCTGGTTTGGCTCAGCGGTTAGAGCGTCGGCCTGTGGTCCAGAGAAACCTGGGTTCGGTTCCCGCTAAGGGCATGTACCTCGGTTGCAGTTTGTCCCTGGCCCTGGTTGGGTCGTGAGGGTGGCAGCCACTCGATGTGTCCCTTTCATGTCAATGTTTCTCTCTCTCTCTCTTTTCCTCTCTCTCCCTCCCGTTCTAGCTGATCAAAAAATGGAAAAATGTCCTCGGGTAAGGATAAAAAAAACCTTATTTTACTTTCTAATAGCCCCAAAGTGCAAGAGTAGTGATGCTGGCCATTAGAATATGCTTCCTTTAAGTGAAAAGGTAAAATTTCTCCACTTGCTAGAAAAAGAAAAAAAAAAATGTATGCTGAGGTTGCTAAAGTCTGTGATAAGAACAAATCTTCTATATGCCTAATTTTTTTTTTTAATCCTCACCCGAGGACACTTTTCAATATTTTGTTCAGATAGAGTGGGAAGGGGAGAGAGAAACATCGATGTGAAAGGGACACATTGAGTGGTTGCCACCCACACAACCCAACCAGGGCCGAGGACAAACTGCAACCGAGGTATGTGCCCTTAGCGGGAACCGAGCCCAGGTCTCTCCGGACCCCAGGCCAAGGCTCTAACCGCTGAGCCAAACCGGTCAGGGCTTCTATATGCCTAATTTAAAAAATTTTTAAATATGTTTTTATTGATTTTTTAAGAGAGACAGGAAGGGAGAGATAGATAGAAACTTTGATGTGAGAGAGAAACATTGATCAGCTGCCCCTGCACAACCCCTATTGGGGATCAAGCCCACAACCCGGGAATGTGCCCTGACCAGGAATCGAACCAGGACCCCTCAGTCCATGGGACGACATTCAATCCACTGAGCCACACCAGCCAGGCCTATTTGCCTAATTTATAAATTTACTTTATCATAGGTATGTATATCTAGGAAAAAACATAGCGTATATAGAATTTGGTATTATCTGTGATTTCAGATATCCACTGGGGGATATTTCCCATTGATAAGGGGGGACTACTATATTTACTAAAGATTTATTAGTTATTAAGCCCTTTGTAAGGACTTAGATATTAAATTTTATTGACTTTAAATTGTCCTATGTTAGGGACAGAGACGGTTATTGTATTCTCTGTGTGACTAAATATTTTTAGAATGTGGTGCAAATTTTAAAAGTAGAAAATTTGGACTACTTTTTCCCCCCTTTACTTCTCCATTTTCATTTCCTGGATAGTGGCGGTTACATGGTAAAGAGTACCAACTGATCAGACTGAAATGTTAGGGTAAGATTTTGACATGTCTTTTATTCTGTGTTAATGAACCTAGACATTCCCATGACAAAATGAGCATTTTATAAAAATAATTCTAGAAGAGAAGAAAGTAGATTCAAGAAAAGATAAATCAATAAGGAAACTACTGTAATAGTTCAGATACAACATGATGACCATTTATGTCAGGGCAAGACACAATGAAAATGGAAATAAGAAATTAAACTCAAGACATTTTAGAATTAAAATATAAAGGTTTAGATAACAAACTATATTTTATTTATTTTGTTTTTGGGTTGTTTTTTTTTTTTTGGTACATGCCCCTAGCGGGAACAGAACTGGGGACTCTCTGGTCCGCAGGCCGACGCTCCAATCGCTGAGCCAAACTGGCCAGGGCTGTTTTGGGTTAAAAAAATTTTTTTTTTACTTTATTGGTTTTAAAGAGAGAGGAAGGAAGAGGGAGGGAGAGAGAAACACTGATGAGAGAGAACATTGACTGGCTGCCTCCTGCATGCCCCCAACTGGGGATTGGGCCCAAAACCTAGGCATGTGCCCCAACCAGGAATCAAACCAGTGACCTCTTGGTGCATGGGTCAACGTTCAACCACTGAGCCACACCGGCAAGGCAAAAAACTATACTTTAAAGATATGGGATTAAAGATACTATAATAGGAAAGAAAACACATTTAAAAATACTTAAGCTTAAAGGCCCTGGCTGGTGTGACACAGTTGGTTGGAATGTTGTCCCATACACCTGCATACAAGAAGCAACCAATCACCCTGGCTGGTTTTGCTTAGTGGTTAAGAGCGTCGGCCTGTGAACCAGAGAATCCTGGGTTCGATTTCCACTAAGTGCACGTACCTTGCTTGCAGTTTGTCCCCACCCGGTTGAGGTCATGTGGGTGGCAACCACTCCATGTGCCTCTCTCTCTCTTCCCCCCTCTCTCCCTCCCACTTTATCTGAAGATAAATGCAAAAATGTCCTCAGGTGAAGATTAAAAAAGAAAGGAGCAACCGATGGATGTTTCTCTCTCCACCCCCACTCTTTCCCTGTCTCTCTTCTCCTCCCTCTAAAAATCAATGAACAGCCCTGGCCAGTTTGGCTCAGCAGATGAAGTGTCAGCCTGCGGTCCAGAGAGACTTGGGTTCGGTTCCCGCTAAGGGTGCGTACCTCGGTTGCAGTTTGTCCCCGGCCCTGGTTGGTCGTTCGGGTGGCAGCCACTAGATGTGTCCCTTTCACGTCGATGTTTCTCTCTCTCTCTCTTCCTCTCTCTCCCTCCCACTCTATCTTAACAAAAAATGGAAAAAAATGTCCTTGGGTGAGGAAAAAAAAAAAAAATTAATGAACATGTCCTCGGGTGAGGATTAAAAAAAAATAATAATAATAAATAAAAATAGGCCCTGGCTGGTGTGGCTCAGTTGGTTGGAATATCATTCTGTGCATCAAAGGGTCTTGAGTTCAATTCCTGGTCAGAGAACATACCTGGGTTGTGGGTTCAATCCTAGTCGGGGTGTTTATGAGAGGCAACTGATCAATGTTTCCCTCTCACAACAATGTTTTTCTCTCACATTCGTTTATCTCTTTCTCTCTCTCCAAAATCAATACAATTAAAACACAAAACGAAAAAATTAAAATAAAAGCAAATCTTTAGAACATTTCAAAGAGTTTACAGCAACCTTGATTAAACATGATGAAGTAATTATAGGCTTTTTATTGGAAGCCCTATTTATCAAGTTTCCACTCATTTATTTAACAAATAGTGCTTCTGAACCTATTATGTGACCCAAAACAACTATCTACTAAAGCACAAAGAGAAGACTAAATTTCTGGACTCACAAAGTTCATATTTTAACAAGAGAGCCAGAAGTAAATAGCAAAACTACAATGTGATAAATTCTATGATAGACTGAGAGTAAAAGGAGTGTTGTGTCCTGGTCGATGTTGCTCAGTGGTTAGTGTCAGCCCACACACCAAAGGGTCGCAGGTTCGATTCTTGATAAAGGGCACATACCTGGGTTGCATGTTCAATCCCTGGCTCTGGTCAGGGTGTCTGTGGGAGGCAACCAATTGATTGATGTGTCTCTTATATTAATGTTTCTCTCTCTCTCTGTTTCTCTCTCTCTCTCTCTCTCTCTCTCTCTCTCTCTCTCCCAATCCCTCCTTCCCTTGTACTCCCTCTAAAAATCAATAGAAAAAATATCCTCAGGTAAGAATTAAAAAGAAAAGGAGTGCCCTGGCCGGTTTGGCTCAGCGGTTAGAGCATTGGCCTGCGGTCCGGAGAGACCCGGTTCCCGCTAAGGGCATGTACTTCGGTTGCAAGTTTGTCCCCGGCCCTGGTTGGTCGTGCGGGTGGCAGCCACTCGATGTGTCCCTTTCACATCGATGTTTCTCTCTCCCTCTCCCTCCTGCTCTATCTGAACAAAGAATGAAAAAGTGTCCTCGGGTGAGGATAAAAAAAAATAAAAAGAAATAAAAAGAAAAGGAGTGCTGTGAAAGCACAGGACAGAGTGACTAATTTCTTGGTTTTGTCAAAGAAGACTCCATTTAAGTCAGTATTTTTATTTCTTTTTTCTTTTTCTTTATGATTTGAGAGACAGAAGAAGGGAGAGGGAGAGAAAGATAGAAATATCAATGAGAGAGAACAACGTTCGGCTGCCTCCTGCATGCCCCTCACTGGGGATTTGGCCCACAACTTGGGCAAGTGCCCTGACTGGGAATCAAACTGGAGACCTCTTGGTGCCATGGTTCAACACTCAACCACTGAGCCCTTAATGTATGGTGCCAATTCATGTTACCAATTCATGATGGAATAAGGAGCTTGCAGCTAATATAAATCATATAGTATTTCCTTAATCAAGACAGCTTTGCTAAGAAAAAATGTTAGCTAACCTAACTGCAGCCTGCTGCCACAGCTGATTTACATTCAAGTGTAAATTCCTCTTTTGTCATGGATTGTAACAGTTTATGGACTGGTTACTTTGAATAGCACTGAAGTTAAGCTAAGTTAAGTAAAAAATGAGAAGACTGATAGGCAAACTGTAGTAGGAAGAGCATTTTAGGTAGAGAAAATAGCATATACAATGGATATAGGCAGGAAAATATTTCACATGGGGAATTGCAAATAGTTCCTCATGGGCTGGAGGAAAGGATGCCTATAAAAGAAAAAGAATAAGGTTGGAGAAGATAAGCCAAATCATAAAGGGCTTTTTAAGTGTACGCTGAGGAGTGTGGGTTTTATACAAAAAAAAAAGTTTCATTGAACAAATTTTAGCTAGGAGGCAATAGGATCAAATTTAGAAATATGTAGACTAAATTAAAAGGATAAGAAACTATATACAATAACCAAAAAAAGAATAAGAACTTGAATTCAAACAGTGGCAGAAGGTAGAGATAAAAGGTAACAGATTTGCATGATATTTAAGAGACGGGACAGAAAATGACAGTGGAATAAAATAGATACAGGGAAGCAAATGTTAAAAAATGTCTCAATTCCTGACTTGAGTGAATAGATCTGAGTGAGGGTCTAAGATAGAAAAAACAAGAGTGACAGCAGGTTTGGAAGAAATAAAGTAAATTTGTGAAACTGTAAATGGAAAATTCTGTGTAACGAACAGAGCTCTCTTCACACTCTCTTTTTCATGATTCTTTTAGGTATTACTTATCAAGAAATCTGGATGAAGAAAAAGGTATATGATAAGAAAAGTATTCTGATAGTACCCACCAGTAATCTCACAGTCATTATCTTCTGGATTCATAGTCCTAAAATTGAAAAAGTGTTTAAAAAATCTGTACCCCATACAATTACCAAGAATCACAACAGTTGAATAATAATGCCAATTGCCTTCTACATTTTATACCCACTAGTAATGAGTGATATTTTACCTACATATTCTTAACTGATTAGATGAAAAATTATATCTCAATATAGTCTTAAGTTTATATTTCTCTTTTAAAGATAAATATCTTTTCATTTGTTCAAGAGCTACTAGTATTTACTTTTCTATGTATTAATATTATAAAAATAAATTTAATGAAAAAATCTGAAGATTGGTACTGTTTCATAACAGCTGATACATTTAAGGATTTATATATAAAAAAAGAGTATTTCATCACTCTATTAATATGATTAGTTTTTAAAACTGATTTACTTTTTACAGATAGAGAGAAAGGGAGAGAGAGAAACAGTGATGGGAATCAAACTAGTATCTCTCAGTCCATGGCATGACACTCAATCCACTAAGCCTCTCGTCGGGCTCATCACTATATTAAAAGAGTAAGCTGTAGGCCCTGGCTCGTTTGGCACAGTGGTTATAGCATCGGCCTGTGGACCAAAGAGTCCCGGATTCGATTCCGACCAAGGGCATGTACCTTGGTTGCAGATCATCCCCAGTTCTGGTTAGGGTCATGCAGGAGGCAACCAATCGATGTGTCTCTTTCTCTCTCTTCCTCCTGCTCTATCTGAAGGCAAATGGAAAAATATCCTTGGGTGAAGATTAAAAATAAAAAACTAATAAAATAAGATATTTAAAAAATAAAAGAGTAAGCTGTACAATGTACATACTTATCAGATATAACAGTATATTAAATTCTGCAAAAAATGTGTTTTTTTAATTAATCCTAAGTATTCCACAAATGGGATACAAATATAAAAAACAAAAAGGATATTAATTTAAAAATTACTTTAATAGGAATATGTAACTTTTAAAATAAAATTTGAATCACATTTTCCTTACTCACTGTGTAAATAGAACATTTTCTCTTGCTTCTGTTTCTAAAAATTAAAAAAAAATTAAAAAATTTCAAGGATACACTGATAAAGCATTAGAAAAATTGCATAAGGACATTATCGACAATAAAAACAAAACTGCCCCTTCCAAGGCTCAAGTTATACTTTTTAAGCAATAAAATAAATAATAATTTATATCAATTATCTGGTTACATACCTATAGTAAAATTTTATACAAAACAGACTTAGCAGGGATTGCATTAATGTATTACCTGCAACCTCTGACTTTCTCACTATTTTCATATGTGATTCTGTCTGGAATACCCTAGAAAATAAAAGAAAGATAAATGAAAATCTGTAATTTTGAATTAGAACACTATGGTATTAATTTATACTCTTTTTATCTCAACATAATAAAGGCTATATATGACAAACCCACAACTAACATCATATTCAATGGGGAAAAACTAAAAGCATTTCCCTTAAGATAAGGAACAAGACAGAGATGTGTCCACTTTTACCACTCTTATTGAACATAGTACTAGAAGTCCTAGCCATAGTAATCAGACAAGAAGAAGAAATAAAGGCATCCAAATTGGAAAGGAAGAAGTAACACTGTCATTGTTTGCAGATGACATGATACTGTATATAGATAATCCAAACAAGTCCACCAAAAACCTAATAGAACTGATAAATTCAGTAACAGAATACAAAATAAATATCCAGAAATCAATTGCATTTTTATACACCAATAATGAACTATCAGAAAAGGAGATTAACAATCCCATTTACAATTGCATCAGAAAAATAAAATACCTAAAAATAAATTTAACCAAGGAGGTAAAAGACCTGTACATGAAAAATTTTAAGATAATGAAGAAAAAAACTGAAGAAGATATAAATAAGTGGAAGCATATATTGTGTTCATAGTTAGAAATAATTTACATCATTAAAATGTCCATGCTACCCAAAGCAATCTATAGAATCAATGCAATTCCTATCAAGATACCAATGGGAGCCCTGGCCAGTTTGGCTCAGCGGTAGAGTGTTGGCCCATGGACCAACGAGTCGCGGGTTCAATTCCGGTCAAGGGCACATAACTCGGTTGTGTTTCATCCCCAGCCCTAGTTGGGGTTGTGCGGGAGGCAGCCAGTCGATGTGTCTCTCTTATATCAGTGTTTCTTTCTCTCCTTCACTCCTACTCTATCTGAATATAAACAGAAAAATATCCTTGGGTGAGGATTACAAAAAAAAAAAGATATCAATGGGAGCCTGGCTAGATAGCTCAGTTGGTTATAGCATCATCCCAAGGTTGAGGGTTCAATCTCCAGTCAGAGCACATACAAGAATCAACCAATTAATGCATAAATAAGTGGAACAACAAATTGATGTTTCTCTCTCTATATATTCCCTTTCCTCTCTCTTTCTAAAAAACCAATCAATAATTTTTTTAAAAAGATATCAATGGTGTATTTCACAGAACTAGAACAAATATTCCAAAAATTATATGGAACCACAAAAGACCCAGAATAGCCACAGCAACCTTGAGAAAGAACAAAATTGGAGGAATCATGCTACCTGATACCAAACTATACTACACCAAATAATCAAAACAGCATGGTACTGGCATAAAAGCCAACATACAAATCAATGGACCAGAATAGACAGCTCAAAAATAAACCCACACCTATATGGTCAATTAATAGTTGACAAAGGAGGCAAGAACATAAAATAGGGTAAAGACAGTCTATTCAATAAATGGTATTGGGAAAAAATTAGACAGATACATGCGAAAAAATGAAACTAGACCATTTTCTTACACCATATGCAAGAATAAACTTAAAATGGGTTAAAGACTTGAATGTAATACTCAAAACCATAAAACTCCTAGAATAAAACATAAGCAGTAAAACCATGGACATTTCACTTAGTAATATTTTTTCCGATATATCTCCTTGGGCCAGGGAAACAACAAAAATAAACAAATGGGATTACATCACACTAAAAACTTTAGGCACAGCAAAGAAAAATATCAACAAAATTAAAAGCAACCCACTGAATAGAAGAACATATTTGTCAATGATGCATCTGATAGAGGTTAATATCCAAAATTTATTAAAAACAAAATGCATACACCTCAATACCAAATAAACAAATAATCCAATTAAATGGTTTGAGAGCCCAGCCAGTGTGGGTCAGTGGATTGTGTGCTGCCCCATGGACTGCAAGGTCCTGGTTCCCAGTCAGGGCACATGCCTAGGTTGTGGGCTCAGTCTCCAGCAGGGGACGTGCAGCAGGTAACTGATCGATGTTTCTCTCTCACATATTTCTATCATTCTCTCTAAAAAAAAAAAATCAATAAACAAACAAACATTTTTTTAAAAATGGGCTAAGAACCTGAATAGACACTTTTCCAAAGAGGACATAGAGATGGCCAGCAGACATATGAAAAGGTGCTCAACATCATTAACCATCAGAGAAAGGCAAATTAAAACCATAACAAGATATCACCTCACACCTGTCAGAATGACTATCATCAATAAATCCATAAACAAGTGTTAGGAAGGATCTGGAAAAGAAAGAACTCTTAAGCACTGTTGGTGGGAATGAAGATTAGTGCAGCCACTATGGAAAACAATATAGAGGTTCTTCAAAAAATTAAAAATGGAACTGCCTTATGACCCAGCAATTCCACTTCTGGGTATTTGTCTAAAGAAACTCAAAACACTAATTTGAAAGAATATATGCACCACTATGTTGACTGCAGCATTATTTATAATATCCAAGATATGGAAGCAACCCAAGAGCCCATCAACAGACAAGTGGATAAAAAAAAGCTGTGGTAAGATTACTTCGCCATAAAAAGGAATGAAATTTTACTATTTTCGACAGCATGGATGGTATGATAATTAAAACAAGTCAAAGAAAAACAAATATACCATATGATTTCACTTATAAGTGCAATCTAAAGAACACTATAAACAAACAAAACAGAAACAGATTCACAGATACAGAGAACTGACTGACAGTTGCAGGAGGAGATGGGGTTTGGGGACTGGGTGAAAAAGGTGAAGAAATAGAAAAATACAGATTGGTAGTTACAAAGCAGTCATGGGGATGTAAAAAACAACATAGGAAATATAGTTAATAATAATGTAATAACCATGTATGGTGCCTGGTGGGTACTGGAAATATTAGGGGAAACACTTTGCAAAGTTTATGATTGTCCAACCCCTGTGCTGTTCACCTGAAACGAATACAAAATAATACTGAATAGAAACTAATGGAAAAAAATGAAAAATTTTATACTATGTTTTGATAGGTAAAAAAAATTTGAGTTCAACTTCCTCTTTGCTATATCAGGTACTCTTATTTTATTTTTTTCTTTATTGATTTTAGAGAGAGAAAGGGAGAATGAGAGAAACATCGATGAGAGAGAACATAGATTAGCCACCTCCTGCATGCCCCCCTCTGGGGATTTGGCCCACAACCTGGGCATGTGCCCCAACTGGGAATCGAACCAGGGACTCTTGGTGCATGGGTCAATGCTCAACCACTGAACCACACCAGCCTGGCTATCAGATACTCTTAATATTTTAAATGCCAAAATTAGTTTACCACATTAAAATCTGTTAGTTTTTATTTTTATTTTTATCCTCACCCAAGGATATTTTTCCATTTATCTTCAGATAGAGTGGGAGGGTGAGAGAGAGGGAGAGAGAAAGAAACATTGATGTAAGAAAGAACAGGTTGTCTCCCACATGGCATGACCCCGACCAGGGCCAGAGTCCAAATCGCAACCAAGGTACATGCCCTTGACCGGAACTGAACCCGAGACTCATTGGTCTGAGGGACAACGCTCTAACCATTGAGCCAAACTGGCCAGGGCAAAAACTGTTAGTGTTTTAATGAGCTCTGACAGAATCATTATTTTTTTATGAGATCTTGTTTTCCTTTATTGATTTTTAGAGAAAGAGGAAGTGAGAGGGAGAGAGCGATAGGAACATCGATTAGAGAGAACACTGACTGGCTGCCTCCTGCATGCCCCCAACTGGGGATCAGGCCCACAACCTGGGCATGTGCCTTGACCGGGAATCAAACCAACGACCTCTTGGTGTATGGGTCGACGCTCAACCACTGAGCTACACCAGCCAGACAGAATCATTATTTTATTACTCCCAATAACCTAGATAATTTTATTCAGCAAACATTAAGTACTCACTATATACCTGGTGCTACATACTAGAGTCTGACACATGATCCTTAACCTCAAGGTGCTTTCACTAGAGAGCTAGAACAGTGATTATAAACATTACTTCACTGACTTCTGTTATTAGCAGTTCAGATAAGGTGGCATGGACCCCAGAGGAAGGAATCTCTTTTCATTGGGATGATTAAGTTTCATGTAGAAGTAGCATTTGATATCTGCCTTGACAAATTTGATCAGTTCATTTTCATTCTGCTAATATTTTAAGTACCCTTCATTTTGCAAGTATACTGTGTGCCAAGCACTGTGTTAAGTTCTTTATGTGCATTTTTAATGATTATAACAATTAGCATGTTGTTTAACAGATGTGGATACTGAGGATCATAGAGACTAAGTAACTACCAAGGTCATATAACTGATAACTGGCAGAACCAAAATGCAAACCCAAATCTGTCTGACTACAAAACAAGCTTATAACTACAAGGTGTACTGAAACAACTTTTCTTCAAAATGACTTACAACAGAACAATAGAAGACTTTTTATTTACTATGAGCAGGATCAGTAGTTGGTCAATTAATCAAAAAATATCTTTAACCTGTTAACCGGGGAATTCCCGGGGAATTCCCTTTTCACTGTATGCAACGTTTGACATATTTATATGTCCCTCTCGGTTAACAGGTTAAACAAGAAATCATAACTGATCCACATATACCTTAACCATTTAAAAAATTTTGACTTTAGCCTTGGTTGGTGTGGCTCAGATGGTTGGATGTCTTCCTGTGTACCAAAAGGTTGTAAGCTTGATCCCCAGGCATGCAGGAGGCAGCCGATCAATGTCTCCCTCTCACATTGATGTTTCTCTCTAAAATTCAATTTTAATATCTTAAAACAAGCAAACAAACCCACTTGGATTTTAATTTGCAAATCTCTTTATATCAACCTGAGGTCTTTACTCTGAGTTTGGATCTACTGGTACAATTTTAGTGTACGTATAAAGGTATTTTTTTCCCCTAGTTTCACTTTTAATACAGAACACGATAGGACACAAAAGCCACAGTGCTTTTTGCACTGAAAAAATTTTATGAATGAAACCAGCAAAACGGAAAGGCACAATACA